GAAAGAGAAAAGGTGAGAGTAAGCAACCTTACCTCACACCGGTCTTCACCTCGAAAGAGTCTGTCAGCTGACCTACGTGCACGATTTTGCAATTCAATTCATTATAAGAATTCCATATGATGTTAACTATTTTCTCAGGCACACCGTAGTGTCGAAGAAGCCTCCACAGTGTTTTCCTATCCACGCTATCGAATGCTTTCTCGTAGTCAATGAAGTTGATGTAGAGTGATGAGTTCCATTCAATTGATTGTTCCACAATCATTCGTAATGTAGCAATTTGGTCAGTACACGATCGATCTTTACGAAATCCACCCTGTTGATCTCGAAGTTGGGCGTCAACGAAGTCCTTCATTCTGTTTAACAATACCCTGTGGAATACTTTGCCTGGTATTGAAAGAAGAGTGATGCCCCTATAGTTCTCACACTCGCTGAGATCGCCTTTCTTTGGTATTTTGATGAGTTATCCTTCTTTCCCATCTGATGGTACTTGTTCCTCATCCCAAATCTTCTTGAAGAGGATGTGAAATATTTTCGCGGTTGCTTCCACATCTGCTTTCATTGCCTCTACTGGAATGTTGTCTGGTCCTGCTGCTTTGCCGCTCTTGATTTGTCTGATGGCCATACTGATCTCCTCAATCGTAGGTGCGCCAATATTAATTGGGAGATCCGTGGATGCTGCTTCGATGTTGGGTGTGTTCAGTGGATCTGGTCGATCCAAGAGTTCCTTAAAGTGTTCTACTCACCTATTTCGCTGTTGTTCTGTGTTGCTGATTACTTTGCCTTCCTTGCTTTTCACTGGTCGTTCTGGTTTACAATGGTTTCCAGCGAGCTTCTTTGATGTATTGTACAACTGTCGCATATTTCCTTCTCTTGCAGCCTTTTCTGCCGTCACTGCTAGATCTTCCACATATTTACGTTTGCCGTCTCTGATGCTGCTCTTTGCTTGCTTGTTTGCATCTGTGTATTCAGCTTGTACCTTGGCTTTCTCTGCTCATGTTCGGCTGATTTTGATTACTGTCTTCTTGTTCCTCCTTTCTTAATTTTTTTCAAGCGTATCATTAGAGATCCATTCCTTGTGGTGGTACTTCTTGTGACCCATAACATCGTGATATCTTGAAGCGATTGCCTCTTTCATCCATTTCCAACTGTTCCCCATGGTTGTTTCCTCTCCATTGAGTAGATCCTGAAAGGCCTGGAACCTATTGGTGACGGCTATATTGAGTTCATTGAGTTTCACGGTATCCTGAAGAAAGGCCGTATTAAACTTGTATGATGTTGTCTGCCCATTATCCAGTGTTTCTTGAGTTTCAGTTTTATTTTAGCGACCAGCAAGTGGTGATCTGAGGCTATATCAGCTCCTCTCCTGGTTCTCACATCCCCCATTTTCCTTCTGAACGTTTTGTTGATACATATATGGTCAATTTGGTTTTGAGTAGTGTGGTCCGGTGAAATCCATGTGGCTTTGTGAATGCGTTTGTGTGGGAATATTGTGCCATCGATAACCAGTTTGTTGAAGGCACATAGGTTTGCAAATCTCTCACCGTTTTCGTTCCTTTCTCCCAGTTCATGTCGTCCGATGTTGTCTTCATATCCAATGTTGTCCATTCCAACCTTGGCATTTAGGTCTCCCATCAGAATGGTCAAATCCTTTGGTAAGCATTCGTCGACGATTGACTACAGCCTTTCGTAGAATTGATCTTTAACGTAGTCATTGTAGTCATTGGTAGGTGCATGGTATTGGATGACGTTGAAATGTCCTCTTTCTTTGTTTTGAGTGATGCTTTACTGATTTGGGTCCACGAGATTCCCATCCTATTAGTGCCATTTGTGCAGTACTTCTGAGCAGTACCCCAGCCAAACCATGCCGTCTGTTTAAGGGTCATAATGTAGCTATAGACAAACAAACTCCTTTAGAGGTAACTTTCAACTGTAAACAGGTTGTAGAACAAATCTGATAGCATCTCAGACACCTTCGGTTAGACTTTCCTCCCCGATGCAAGTCAGACATTAGTCAGTAAGAGAATCTCAGAAACAAAACCACTCATGTAAATCGCGAGACATACAAATTTATGAATAAGCCAACTGATCAGAATTAGTGCAGTCGAGTGGCTAGACTGCCACCGATTGTACACCACCAAATGCCTAAAATCGTAATGAAAAATCGACAAGTGAGCACACAGAAACCAATCGGTCTAAACTAGATATTGGATATTGGGTAGTCAATCAGCAATCAGAGTATAACTCCCACTGGTTGGTTCCATAGACAACTTGGTACAGCCATTAGAAGCTCTGGCATGACTGAGCACGTACGCAGCGCCACTAGGTGGACTAAGGAAGGGAAGTACTCAAACCTAGAACGAACGACCAGCTCCTGGTTGAGGATGTTCACATCCGCGCTCCAATAGGTAGTAGTGACCATGGCACAGTCCTGTTTAACATGGTCACAAACGAAACGCTGACACCGGACGATAACGACCCTTACCTTTGCTACAGTAGGGCAAACTACACACGCATGAGAGAGGTGCTCCTACATGCCCCATGGCCACGGGAGTGGTGGAGGCTGACAGTAGATGATCACTGGCAAGCAGTGAGAGATATCATCCAAAACGCTGTCGTAGACAACGTACCTCAATCACACCCAAAACGCCAGAACAGAAGAACCTGGGTTAGGCGCGGCACGGAACGCTTGCTACAGGCGAAGAGGAAAGCCTGGCACAAGTGGAAGGTAGCCTTGAAGGATTCCGATCGCAGTTCTTACTTGGCATTGAGAAACAGATGCAATACCAAAGTTCGAAGCGGCAGGAGACAATTCCAGACGAAACTAGCAGCCAGAATAGAGGCAAACCCGAAACATCTGTTTAGCTTCATTTCCAAAAGAAAACCTACTAATCAAGGGTTGTGCCCCATAAAAGGGCCTAACGGAGAAGACCTCAACAACCTAGAGATGGCCGAGATCTTCAACACCCATTTTTCTGATCAATTAAACCAGGCGCCTACATGTTCAGAGTATTACGCCAACCCAATGCCAGCTGACGGCTTAAGGAACATCCGTATCACTCCTGACCTAGTATTAAGGAAACTAAAATCCTTACGATCAGGTAAGTTACCAGGTTGTGACAACATCCGCCCTGTAGTCTTGCAACAGTGCGCTGAAGCCCTCTGTTCACCGTTATGCAACCTGTTCAGGCATTCACTGGAGTCACACCAATTCCCAGCGGAATGGAAACAGGCTACTCTCTCTCCAATCTTCAAAGGAGGAGATAGAAAGGACCCAGCCTGTTACAGACCAGTCGCACTACTACCTATATTATCAAAGGTTATGGAAGGGCTAGTGGACGAACAAATGAGGGAGTACATGGATAAGAATAAAATACTCCATGAAGCTCAACACGGGTTTCGGAAAGGCAGGTCGTGTGCATCTAATCTTCTCATCGCATGGGACAGTTGGACATCCTGCTTGGACCGTAAAATACCAGTGCACGTAGTATTTCTCGACTTCGCAAAAGCCTTTGACACAGTGCCCCACGCACGCCTAATCGAAAAGGTTGTGGAAATGGGCTTCACTGACCCACTCGTATCTTGGCTCAGAAACTACCTTGAGAATAGAAAGTTTCGCACCAAGGTAAACAGGGTGCACGCGAGTTGGAGAGTATCCACTTCAGGAGTTTCACAGGGGACCATCCTAGGCCCACTCCTCTTCCTGATATTCATTAACGACCTGCTAGGCTTAGTTAGCTCACCGGCACTGATCTACGCAGACGATGCGAAGATCTGGAGGTCCATTAGAAGCGAAGAGGATTCGACTGAGCTTCAAAAGGACCTTACATCTATTGAGAAATGGGCAGTGAAAAACGGTTTAAAACTCAACCAACCGAAGTGCCACGTCATGCATTTCCTGCCTTATATGACGCAAACGACCTACACTCTCAATGGGAGTCCGCCCCCTCATGTCTCCTCAGAGCGCGATCTTGGTTTAATAACCACAGAAAGCCTCCACACGAGTCCGAACTATGTAGGGGATGCAGCCAAGGCAAATGCGACTCTTCACTTTATGCGAAGACAGCTTGGTGCTATCACCCCGAAATTATTTTTAACCCTCTTTAAGACGTACGCGCGCCCACACTTGGAGGTTCACAACGTCATCGCACCCCCTCTGCTTAAAAGAGACATTAATCTCTTGGATCGAGTGCAGAGACGAGCAACCAAATGGGTGATAGGGTTGAAAAATAAACCGTACGACGATAGACTCCAGCTCTTGGGATTATTCCCACTGAGCTACAGGAGAATCAGAGGTGACCTGATTATGGCGTACACCATATTAAACACGCCAAACCATCCCAATGTGAGCATCTTACCGATGCATCACCACCACTCCCCTCGAGGCAATCCTCAAAAGATTGCACATCAAAGAGCAAACACTCAGATTCGTGCACACTTTTTCTCATTGCGAGTCGTCGCAACTTGGAATGATCTCCCACCCAAGGTAGTTACAGCCCCCTCAGTGGACTGCTTTAAGAAGAGACTTGATAATCACGTACTCACATGCGGACTATCATCTTCCTCTTGGACAAGCTGTGCCTGATGCACATCTTGAGACCTGCTAGTTGTTACCATTGCCATCTCCTCAGATCACTCAATTAATATATCTCGCCTATTCCTCTCCCTTGCTCACACTTCGGTCCTCTCTCACAATCTTCACTACCAATTAATAAACTAAATTCATCTATACATTACTCAGTTCTGAAATTTTACTCATATTATCATTTTAATTTATCCTTATTACCCTTATTACTCTCCACATTGCAACTAACCGATCTCCGGTTTGGTAATGTGACGGCTGCTAGTATCCAGAAACCCTACTGCCCTGAAACAAACGTTTCATTCAAATCCCGAGACATACAAACTCACAACCAACTGCCAACTGATTAGAATTAGACAGTCGAGTGGCTAGACCTCCATCCATTGGACATTACCGAACACCTGGAACCGTATCGAAAGAACAAGAATCGAGCGCGAAGAAATCAAATTGGTTTACACTAGCTCGTGAAATAGATATTGGATATTGGATATTGGAAGAGCGGGAACAGCAGCATTGCAAACTTCAAGGTGAGGCTGTACGTAAGTTGTAAAGAGGGTAAGGGGCATTTCTGTGTTGATCGCACCTACTTGTCCTCACGTGAAGTAAAGAGTTGTGTTTACCGTGGCTGCATTCCCCATTTAGTTTGGAATGGTGCCCCTCCGTCTGTGATTAGTAAACTAAGATCACACTCTGAAGAGAAATTTGTGGGTAGATTTCCATAGAGGCTGTAAGTTGTTTATTTCACACGGGGCAAAATGTTCATGAAATGGCATTTTGACTTGTTAGGTTTTTAACCCGTTATATAACTTCCATTTCCCTCAAATGAATCCTCTTCGTTTCCGATATGCCTCCAGATATTTACGTTGTCTGCATAGATTGGTGTCACCTAGCCGATTTTATTCAATGTCATTAATAAATATCTAAAAGAGGAGTAGACATAAGAGGGTCCTTTGTCGAACTCCTGAAGTAGAGATTCACTAGCTCGCATGCACTCCACTTGGTCCGAAACTGTTCTCTAGGTAGTTTTGAGGGCAGGATAGGAATGAATCCGCAAACCTCATCCTCTCAGCCTGCGCTGTTAAGGGTACGTGGGTTTCTGTCTTTAAAGCAATATCGAAGTAAAGGAATAATACATGGACCAGTATTTTTCAGTCCCAGCAGGATTTCCAGCCGCCCCATGCTTCGAGAAGATTAGATGTGCAAATCTTGTATTTCCTAAACCCCTGTTAGACTTGGTAAAGGTTGTTGTTTCTATACATTTACTCCATCATTCGCTCATTCACAAGTCCTTCCACTACCTTCGAAGGCATTGATAATAATGCCAATGGTCTGTAGTAGGCTGTATCCTTCTCATCCTCTCCTTTGAAGGTTCGATAGAGAGTAGCTTGTTTCCATTGAGCTGGGAGTTTGTGTGACGCCAGTGAATGCCTGAACAAATCACATACCGATGAACTGAGTTCTTTTGCATACTGGTTCAGGATCATCGGTTGAATATTGCCACATGTTCAATCAGTCACGAACTTCTGATGGCTGTCACAAGCGGCTTCTAGAACCACTCTATAAAAGTTTACCTTGCCTGCTGAGATTTAGGGATGGAGTGTTGAGATCTCCAACAAAGCGTGTTTGGTCTGACCCTAGGTGTGGTAGTTGCAATATCAACACAATCAACTTGAATTTCTGGGCTCTGGACTGTCGGTTGTGTAATGCTGAGTCTGAATATCTGAATACGATAAAAGCTTTTTCAGGCAAGCCATAATATGTTGTTACAGGCTTTAGTTAATTGTGTATTCAGTTTTTTCGGTAACTCCTAATTTGGAGAGACTATAAGATTTCTAGGTGATACTAGTGTCTTCGGAAAACTACAATTACTTAACTGAGTCAAAATACGCGGATTCGTGGCCGCTGATGAGTCTGTGGGATGTGTGGTCAAGAGTAACCGATAAATTTAAGGTCATAAACTAGCTATGGTTTTCTTTGTTGGTCAACTTCAGCTATATGATTTAACCACACAGGTTAATGCTTTTCGCGTCAATATCCAAGATTCATTATCCAAAGGTTTGTTTGCCTGCAAATTTCATTCCTGACAACCACTAGGCGTGAAAAAAGTATATCGATGAAAATCTAGCTTCCGAAGTAGACAGAAAACAACTGGATGCTCTTACAGTCCGTTTTAAGCCCATCGCATGTGCTTAGGTTTTATATTGTTATCTCTTCCAGAATTCCAGTCGTTTCTCCGTACATTCTCAGGACAGACCACACCTAGGTTAGATAGACCTACTAACCACTGGATATAAATTGGCACTATTAAGCTGTTATCCTGTTTCAACCATCCAACTTTTACAAAGACCAGCGTTCTTTGAATGACCGAGTCGTCAAAATGTATCCAGTACTTCAAAGTAAATTCTTGAAATTCGTTGTTTACCATTCTTATTCTAGGGGGATCCCTTGGAAGAACTGACTCTAACATCACCATGTCTACTTCCTCTTCAGCCTTCACGGACACACAAGGTGTTTTTTCGTGTAAGTGGTGTTTTTTGCACTTGATATCATTTCAGTGTGGCAGTAGCTCTTTAAAGCCACCCATACCATATCCTGACGACTATCAGGATAAATGGAACGGATTTTTTGTTCGTATGCCATGTTCCCCTGAAAGCGTTTATCCAGTTTATGAAGTAAGATTATTTGGTGGGCTTGTATTTTAGGGTGGCACTAATAACCTTAGTTCTAGGTGGGTTGTGATTGAAAAGGCCTTGAGAAATAGGATACGATCTCCTGATGAATTGAAGGTAAAAATTCTCTTTATACCAATTTTAACAACATTATTTTATTCATATGATCAAATCTTAGTTATTTGGACAGCATAAACAAAAAATGATCAGGTCGCATTGTTTTTTATTTATTTCTAGGAAGCTATTCTCTCCTACAATTCTCGTTTCAAATCCCACTGGAATTTCAAAACATTAGAACAATTATGTATGATGAATCTGATTCCTGATGGTGGAAATGATAATTTCTTCGGTAAAACTCTTTCTGGTATTTGCTCGTTAGCACTAAATTTGCCTGTTTTTGTCACAAAAGTAATTAGCTGTTTTTAATGGCTTGTAATTTTCCATTCGAAATGAATATCAACATATCTTTCCTAGTTTTCTTACAAAAAGGACGGTGATCGATCAGTTATTATTGTAGAAATATCTCTGCATAAATTAGATCCTGATTGAAGGTTCTATATGTTTTATTTCTATAATATTGTTCATCATCTGTCTGCTACTCAACTGAAATCCCTGAACTAGACACGTTTTAGTACTATTAATTTATCAGACATTATAGGTACAAAACGTTTTGGTTTACACTTATCGTAGTGAGAAAAAACATTTATTTTCAAAATCTCATTATCCTCATATTGAAAAGTTTTAAAATTTTCTTTTACTCCTAGTACTTAGTTTTAAGCTTGATAAATGCCCTTTTAATACCAATACCTTGGTGTAAAGTCACTACTAATTAGTAGTGTTTAACGTTCACGGTACTAAGTCTCTGATTTTGTAGGTTTAGCTCATGTGCTTATTGTTTGTTGGGTTTCAAGTCTATTAGCACCAAGAAGTTGAAGAAAAACTAGATTCATTTTATATACGATGGAACCTGGTATTTATAGCCTTAATTGTTCTCTAAAGAGGTTTTTATTTTACATCGGGTATACTTAGTACTTAGCTCTTTAACTTGCCTTTTGTAAGTATTCATCCAGTTACACAGTCCATTTTCTAGACAGCACTAATTATCTTGCCATACACATTTTATCAACCTTTATTTCCCTTCTACCTTTTGTTTGACAAAGTTTAGTTGAGGAAATATCACATCTACCCAAAGTCACATTATATTGTGTATGCGCAATTCTGTTCTGATGATCTTTTATCAATAGTTCATACTGTTTATTTGATGTCATTTGGTTATCGTTTCTTTCTCACTCTAGCCTATTCCCTTACTGTCATCCCGAAAAGAATGCGCACTTACTTTAAGTCAGCTCCAGATAGCCAGTCTTTTAGCAAATGCATTTTTTTGTACATTCCCTCGACGTAATTGTCATAGTCAAGATGCAGAATATGTTAATTTCCCTAAAATCAATTTTTCTCATTTACTGTCAACAAAAGCCGAAAGTAAATGTGACTCAAGCCGGTGAGTTTACTTACTGTAATAAGTTTCGAGTCATATTCACAATTTAATATATTTGCTTTTCGTGTCATCAGTTAAAAGTCGAAACAATCTCAATATATTAGCAAGCTACTGTAAGAATTTCGTTACCAATACTATTTTGCAGGGAAACTCAACTAAAGTTAAGTTGCTCATAGAAATTCAAAAATAGGAAACTACAAAGTCCCTTGATTGCTCTCATTTCCGCTACTCTATCATTGCTGTTCGTTTTCCTCACTGTGCTTGTAGTTTGCGACAATTTGAATCGCTATTTTTGCGACACACTTGAGTCGTTTTGTTTCACCTTTATGATTTGAGATATTGATCAGTGCATCGTGTAAGGCGGCTCAGCCTAACAATTGCACGTTTAGCGTATTTACATTCAGTACTGTACTTATATTTATTTGAGGTCATACACGAAGTAGTTTTTGGATTGTTTCAGTCAGTTAACTGGCGAATATACCTATTTTATGTCCCTGACGATCTTGGGATGATGATTATTATGACTAAGTACATTCTTCATCTATATCAGCACATATATTAAACTCTATTTACGACCATATTGTGGTTTAATTTTTCAGGACGCTTCATGTCAAAGTTGAAAAGCTACGTTGCATCTTACACTACTTTCATCGTGTTCTTCAAAAGTTCCCTACGGGGTCAGTTACATTTATAAGACGCTGTCTAGGTAGTTTGGCACCAGATTGGTCCAAGAGCGAATTAACATTTGATCAGTTGCGTTTACATGTCAATGCAACAGGATCAATTACTGATGCCGGTCCAAACACTTTACAAGTTTGTTGTCTGTAGCTTATCAGTTTTTTAATACATGTGTTTATATTTTGAGTGGTTCTGTGGCAGAGTCTTTAATTAAAAGGTGTACCAGAGAAGTACATTAACCGTATACAAGCTTTCTACTCAAACACTACTGGTCGAGTTAGAGCTTATGGTGAACTGTCATCGAAATTCATTACTTCAATTGGTGTCCATCAGAGCTAACCACTCTCACCATTCTTGTTTAACTTAACGTAGACATGTTTTTAGAGGTAACATTATCTTCGTCTGACCTTTCAGGGTTGGATCTGTCAGGATATTCACTGGTTGACTTAAAATATGCCGATGACATACTTCTACTTCACGACGATGCTGATAAAATGCAGTGTATCCTGACTACCCTTAGCAACAATGCAAGCATATTCGGGATGCGATTCTCCCCGTCGGAATGCAAAATATTGCATCAGGATTGGCTTGAATTGGCGTCTGAACTGGTGATAGGGAGTGAAGTAGTTGAGCATGTTGACGACTTCACTTATCTCGGGAGTCTTAACAGTGCGGATGGCCTGGTGACTGACGAAATCTCAGCACGGACACAGAAGGCTCGATTGGCTTTTGCCAACCTGTCTCACTCATGGCGCAGGCGAGATATCCGTTTGCTGACTAAAGGATGAGTGTACTGTGCATTAGTTCGCTCCGTCCTACTTTATGGCTGTGAAACATGGCAAGTAAGAGTAGAAGACATTTGTAGATTATTAGTATTCGATTATATATGTCTTCGAAGCATTGCTCGTATATCCTGGGTCAGCCGAGTAAGCAATACTATAGTAAGGAAACGAGTACTAGGCAGGGATGGCAAATCAATATATGAAGTAGTGAAACTTCATCAGTTGAGGTGGTTGGGACATGTTTTACGTGTGCCCAACCATTGACTGCCTCAACGAGCTATGTTCTGTGGTGTAGGAATAGACTGGAAGAAAGCTAGGGGTAGCCAAACCAAAACATGTTAGAAATCTATGAAGTCACTGACAAGTGAACTGAGTCATGTTGGTAGATGTAGGCTACCTGGTTGAGGTCCGCGAGACGATAGTAACTGATGGTTAGAGACCTTGAATGACATGGCTCAAAATCGTTTGCTATGGCGCCGGTGCATGTACTCTATGTTCTCTCAAATCCTAATCTTCTGGATTCGTGGACACCTCTGCCTTTGTCTTTCTAAACTAATCTCACTGAATTATACTTCTTGAATAATATCTTCAAACCCTAATCTTCTCCATTACCAATAATACTTCTACTATCTCTACCACTTTGGGATTCGAACTGACAGGGGCGTGTCTATGCTAATGTGGTAGTCTACCTAAACTTATGCACGTACGTACTAAGTTCTATGTTGTAACTGATTGACAATATCAAGTCCCGTACTCTGTATTCATCTCGTGTCTTTAACCTAAGGTTACTATTGCTTACTACTACAACTATTGCAGTACCTCCCAAACGTCGTGGTATGGTCGAAAGTGAGGAGAGTATACTCTTCTCGAAATTTCACTGCCAGGAAAGTACTAATCAGTGAATTCTCGTTGTGGGAGTGTAGTTTAGGAAGTCGAGAGGATGAACAATGAATATCCGGTACTTAAAGCGGGTTGTTGGATACAAAGGATCCATATAGGGGAGTTTTGTAACTCTGGATCCTAGCCAATGACATACATGGGCTCCATAATCCTGAGAAAACAAGTATCGTATGCATCTAGAGTTGGTGACTGGCTACCGTGGGACTAAATTTCCTAACTCTACTCCGATGATTTGTGAATAAGACCTTTGGGTCAAGGGCTCGGGTAGTGGTCCCTGTACGAAAGCTACTTACTTCAGTTTGTGCACTCGAGCACTATCGTATCTCACTCACAAATCCAATAACTTGAGTGTTGCACAAATATTTTGGTGCACCTTGTGTGTGCAAGTAAAATAGGTTTTTTAACGATTACTAACGCTTGTGTTCACTGTTACCTAAATTATGGGGGAAGGGCATCTGTACGATTATCGCATATATCATTCGTATTACAATAGTGCTGTTTTCACTGTTCATCTATTTAGCACTGCTTTCCAAGAGTCTATCTTCGAAATATTAACAACTTTACAACTGTTCAAATGTTTTAGGTCGATTTCGCTAACAGTTACCTTGGTGGAGGTGTTTTAAATGGTGGATGTGTACAAGAAGAAATTATGTTTGCTCTACGACCGGAATTGTTGGTTGGCTGCTTATTTGTAGAGCGTCTGGGGTTTAATGAAACGCTTATTATCGAAGGTGCTGAACAGTATTCCGTAGGCTCTGGTTATGCTGACGATTTCTGTTGGGCTGGAGATTTTAATCATTCAAATAGTGGGATGAAACGGTAAGTTTGACATTCATTCATAATACTGGTTAATCCTATGTGACATGTGGGAGTTGTTAAGAATTTACGATATCCGTCGGAATATTTATTGTCTTCATATACGTTTAGTAAGTGGGTTATCATAGAAATATTTGCTATTAGATTCCTAAAACGTATATTGGTCTTTCAATTTAAAATCTCTTCACTAAAACTACGTTAGCTTTCGTCCATACATTCAGTCGCTAATTAAACCTGTAAGGTTTGGAATATTAAATGTTACAATTTCCATACGTTCGTTAACGAACAACTTCAGCATAAGTGTCTTCAAAGGTGATCCAAATGTACGATGTCATTGGTAAGATTTAACTGATAAATTTTAGTTAGATATCTGTAAGCTCCTGATAAATATTGAGTTTAACTCAATTTCCACTATCTGAACATGTGTGGACCTTCTAAACTTTGGTTTAATATCTTAGAATCTCTAGATGAAAAGTCCCATAATAGATCAAAAAGCTGCCTAATAGTCTTTAATTGGTTATACTTTCCTCACTCTTATTATTACAGTTTTTCCTACATACATAGAATGTAGTTGCATTTATTTTCTGTCCCATTTATGTCGTGTCCTGAAGAATGTAATTACAAAAGTGTACTTGTTAAACTCTAATTTTTTTAATAATTTATTTATGATTATCGCCTATATAGAATATGAACATAGTTCTCTTTTTATTTCGACTAGCGATAATTGGGGTCGATGGAATTATGCAGTAGTAGCAATGGACGCTGCAAAGTACAACAATCCTATGAAACAGTTTACTGTCGAGGAAATGTTGAGAGAATTAAATAAGGTAATATTGTTTTATTTTAAGTATATCTAATTTTTCTAGTAATCCCTATTAGATAATCCTTTTTTAATTGTAATAATATTGTTCACCTAACGAACGTAGTCCATTCGATTCTGGAGCAGTCTATCTAATCTACTTGATGAAAGTGTTTAACAGCATAGCATCATCTATCATCTGTCAATAGACTAGTATAAATTAGTATGGACTAACTGTTGAGTTATTTGATACAGCATTGTTCTACAAATGACTTTTTGTTTGTTGAATAAACTTTTGTTAAGAATAAAAGTTCTAATCCATATTTTGAAAATCCACTATAACAAACTTGTTTGTTTTTCGTTACTTACTTCACTTTTCTTGTTCAACAAATTATTCAGCATTTCGTTTACTACTATTTTGACTGGAGGATGTCTGATTGTTTGCATGAAGTGAACTATTAGTTACGTTCACCGTATACTGCCAATTATTCGTTTTTGCAACTCAAATATAAAGACAGTACTTTATGTCTTCTACTTGCCTCAATAACGCTAATTTCCACCGCACTACCGCAGTATATACTAACGTAAACTGGTTATTGTAGATCTTTCTGTCCCTAGGACCGCATAGCACATAAAAGTCAACCGGTATGCCTTGTGTTGTTTCATACTTAAAAATTCACATAGTTGTGCACGTCATTCACAAAACCACAACTTACTGTAAATAAGGAATCTTGACCTGTACAAAAGTAAGTCATTTGTGGCTCAAGTTAAATGAAGGCTTATAGTTCGAGCAATTCAAACCACTTATTTATTGAAATATACCTCAAAATATACTGAATCACTGGAAAGTATCTGGCAAAGTTTGTCCTTTTTCATTTCTTCAACTATATCTAGCACAGCTTTTTATTATATACTGAGTAAAAAACTTTATGTCCTTCTATTCCTTTACTTTTATTTTGTGTTTATAGGCTTATTGTGGATTTACAGATGAGTTATTCCCTGGAAGAAAACTACCTGCAGTTGTAGCTACTGGGAATTGGGGATGTGGTGCTTTCAGGGGCAATGTTGAACTGAAATGTATGTGACAGTTTCTTTCACAGTTTTGAGTTAAATTCATCCGATTTTTTATTTTCATTTGTATTGAATTTGTTATTGAATAACTGCGTAGTCATTCACATGACTTTAATCATTTTGCTCGATATATTTACCTTACATTGTTAGATGCTTACCTTATACTCAAGAATGTAAAAAATATACTTTGCCGTGGTGTTTCGTTCTCTGAGCTGGTTGTTTTGGTTGTGGAGCTTTCATTGTTCTTCTGAACAACATCATCAGCACAAACTTCAGAAGAACAATGAAAGCTCCACAACCAAAACAACCAGCTCAGAGAACGAAACACCACCACAATCATCCACCTGAGCTACAAGTTTTCTCCACCATCTCAATATACTTTGCCATTTGTAATTTGGGTAATTTTGTAGATTTTTGAAGAAACTAATCTCTACCTCAAAATATTTTCTATCTCTTGTGTTAAACTTTCTAGGTGTACTTCAAATGATGGCATGCCTTCAAGCTAAAAAGTCAATGGCATATTTTACTTTCGGTGATAAAGAATTTTGTGATAGGATCTACGCATTGTATACTTTGCTTTCTTCTGAAAAAGTAACTGTAGGTAAGATAAAATATTTTTACTGAACTATTAGACATGTTTTTTGTTTGTCTAGATATTGCTATTCAAATAATTTTATTTGACTATCTTTATAGCGAAACAAGGGCATTCACCTGCCTCCTGTTTATCCCTTAATTTTAATTTTTGTGTATATCCACCACTACAAATAATCGTGTAAATAAATCGTTATTTTCATCGTAATGCAAGTCCTTCAGACTAGAAAAATTGTATGTTGAGTCCATTTCTGTTTTTGTCGATTTTCGAAGACGGATGGCTACTTAAGTTCCACAACATACGTATCCCTCGAAGCTGCACCAGTGGCATCAATCAAGTAATTATGTAGTCTTTTCCGTGATCAATCTTTGTCGTGATGATACTTGATTTAAAAAATACGAACAAGCGTTTATTGGGATGCACACATGCGAAAATAAAGTATTTTGAATGTTTTGACGGAAATACTATTTCTGTTTTTATGTTTCGTATATATATATCAGTACATAGTCAAAGTCAAAGCTGAGTTTACTGAGATACCACAACTCACATTTGATTTTTATGGGAAATGTGGTTATTTACTGTTATGCTCACTGTTACTAGGGGCTGATTCACTTAACTGTTTGTTTTAAATATAAAAAAATATATTTTGGTAAACGAACATGCATTTCACTTTTGATTCGCAGAGTTGCTCATACATTAAAGTGTTTTTTACAGTGAAGTTAAAACTTAACGATCAGATAGATTTGATGACCTAGCTCAGCCAAGTTTCGTATCCGTCTATAGGGACGTTTGGTTAACATTGTGGTTTTGCAGCCACTTCCAGGCAATGAACAAAAAATCTGAGTTAAAAGTATTTGCTACGGAAGTAATGATATTTCCAGTTATAATGTTGAAGTAACATTTCACTCATCTAAGTGGAAATATATTCACAGCAAATGTTTATTTCTGGATCCTTCTCTTAGCCATCAATAATTTTGTAGAGGATTCATTCTCTGTTGTAGATGTTTCAAAATCAACTTGCTGAAGAAGTTAAAAGATAATTTAGCGCAGTCATTCGTGAAAATCGTCATCTATTTTTGTATTCTTACTTCACCCCACCACTTAGGCAACAAACCACTAATAAAGTTTCTTTGAGTTTACCACGAAGAAGTAAACTGAAACAAAAACTTGTTGATTTTACATACAATCTGTACAGAAAGGAGTAAGCAATATGTATGTGACACACTCATTTCCATTTTCCAATAGCAAAAAACAATTTTTCTACCAATTTTAAACTTATGAAGCACAAGCTAAAGCATTTCTATTAAACTCCACGTTTGATAAAAGATGGAAGTTATTCATATTTGAATTTCGTGCAAAGTTCGCAACTGGAGTTCTATTCCTATTGAATCGACCCCATTCATATAGTAGTACTCTAAGACTGTTATTTGCGACTATTATTTTAGCGTTAAAGTACTATTCCCTCTCCTGATATGTATATATATATATAATGATTTCATGTTTTATAGGACGATTATGGCGAATTTTAAGTGAGAATGCTGAATATGGCTTGATGGAAAACCAATCTGTATTCGATCTAATTTCGCAAACATTAAAGTGAATGTAAACCGTCTATACCTAGTGTAAAATGTTACCAATTTTTGTCAAACATATATTTTTATATTTTTTTTAATAACTTGGTAGTTACAATTCCTGTTTTTGCCTTACGATGATACACAAGGAGAATAAAAAAGATTCGTTGTTATCTTGTCGGTTAGTGTTTCAGGATGGGTGTGCAACACTATTAATTAAGTATGGAACATTCGGATTGTCTTTAAGAAGTAATTGCCATTCTGTTAAATATGATAGATTTATGAAAAACCAATCAGCTACTATCTGATCGTTTATTTCATTATATATATATATATATATATATATATATATATATATATATATATATATATATATATATAATGAATATTTTGTTTTTAACGTTCAAACGTAACATCTAATCCAATAATTCTGAAGTACTTTTGTCTATCACTCCAACACTAATAGATAGTGTAATCGTAACTCGTACTTGATTTATTTTATTTCATTTAAAAACGGTTATTCATGCGGACGGGAACCAAAATATTTATGCAACACTCAAGTTATTGGATTTGTGAGTGAGATACGATAGTGCTCGAGTGCACAAACTGAAGTAAGTAGCTTTCGTACAGGGACCACTACCCGAGCCCTTGACCCAAAGGTCTTATTCACAAATCATCGGAGTAGAGTTAGGAAATTTAGTCCCACGGTAGCCAGTCACCAACTCTAGATGCATACGATACTTGTTTTCTCAGGATTATGGAGCCCATGTATGTCATTGGCTAGGATCCAGCGTTACAAAACTCCCCTATATGGATCCTTTGTATCCAACAACCCGCTTTAAGTACCGGATATTCATTGTTCGTCCTCTCGACTTCCTAAACTACACTCCCACAACGAGAATTCACTGATTAGTACTTTCCTGGCAGTGAAATTTCGAGAAGAGTATACTCTCCTCACTTTCGACCATACCACGACGTTTGGGAGGTACTGCAATAGTTGTAGTAGTAAGCAATAGTAACCCTAGGTTAAAGACACGAGATGAATACAGAGTGCGGTACTTGATGTTGTATCATCTAAAGAAACGTTATACTCAATAGAAACTTATTGAAACAAAAGTACACTAACACTTCACTTGTCGTGTAAAAGATAATCGTTTTTCAAACTCAAGGGAATCAAATCTAATAAATGATGGGACAAGAACTATAACAACTTCTACATAAAGTTGTACGACATATTTGGAAATATCTCTATCGTATTATTGCTTTTCTTTAGCCAGGCAACTATATTTCATATGCGTATTCTGTCAAGCAAGTGAATCAAAGGTCAGCGGCCAAGTGGACTGATCCAGGCCATTCAAGATTTTCTGTTTGAAGCATCCCATGGTAGCCAGTCACCTACACTAGATTCATACGCTGTTTTTACTCAGGAGTCCATGTACATCATTGGTTTGGAATCAAGGTTTTCAAACTCCCCTGTATGGATCCTCCAGACACACATGACTATTGATTACACTCGAAAACTGGTATACGATTGTAGATCTCCATCTTGTAGCAGTCCAAACACATCTGCTTGATGTCTTCAGTGGTTGTTGGAAACATAACCATACAAGTTCGATTGTCCTATTAAAAACCCAGTGTGGTGGATGGTGCTCACAAGGTCGTTTATCAGTAGTATGCGATGGAGCACTGCTTGTGAATTTTTAGTATCAAGAAAATGGCCTATTCGAGAAACCTGCAAATTTGGTCATTAAGGAGGAAAGACATCTTATCGCCTACTTAGATCGATGAGCATGTGAATGAATGGTCGGAAACTGTATGTATTTCGTAAACAATCTGTGTTCTCTCCATAAGTGTATATATTCTATCCGCTTCGTACATAACACCTGTATCGATACCAAAAAGAACATGTTAACACAAAGGTATGGGTCACGCAGCATTGTTTCCTACCGTGGATTATACTCTTATATGTGGTTAAACTGAATATGTCTGTCTTCAAACCTCGAGGAACCATTGTTTACTATGGTTTTCCAAATGAATAACATAGGATACTGCGTAGGCTACTGAAGAAGTTGCATCTTAATTTATAGATAGTTAAGTTAATGTTGTAACATTAAATTAAAATTTGTCTGCTTACTATTGTTTCAGTGTTCGTAAATGGATATGGAAGGCGGCACTACGAAAACACTTTGAATTAATCTTTTGACCTGATGATTAACAATCGATCGCTGCTGAGAGAAATCTTAATATTCTTGCTACTTCTGTTAATTAAGCCTGAATATACACAGCATTAGTGTTACTGTAGCCGTTAGAGCAATCGGTTTTTATGATAATGCACTAAACTTCCTAACCTCGATCAGTTAATTTCACTAACAAAGAAGTGGAGCTTACACCTGAATAGAGAAATCTGTACTTACTGGAAGGGTTGCCTTTCTGAACGGTTTGCTAAAACAATATAACAACAAAACTCAATATTTTTATTATTTTATTCTTGAACTGCGATATGTCGATATTTGTTTTACTGGGACTGAATTAGTTTTAGACATATTAGTAATTTTAATCAGTTTATCACCAGATTTTAAATCGTATTCTGTTGGTTCAAGTCTTGTTAATTTACTCCGACCAGTACCATTATTAACACCAGTGTTAGAATCACTGGTGCGGAGCTGCTTCACTTTTCGGTCAGTATTCATATTTGTTCTATACATATGTGTTTGATGCTCTGTATTTTGAACGGTATCTCCACTGGGACATTTTAGTTTATCAAAATTTTCTATTTTATTTGACCAGTAATTGTTGCTATCATGAAACTTCTTTGAAATCTAAATAAAATTTAAATGAGGTGAAAAGAAATATTTGTAGGGATAAATAATTATAGTTTTCACTTAATCAATGATAAAGTGAACATTAAGGTTTTGTTTGATTAATTCAATGAAATATGGAAGTTCGTAAACTAAGCTGATGACAAAACGATAATTGTATATATGACGGCAGAAAATACCATCAAACCAGCTAAATTAGTTGTGTTGAGCGGAGTTTAAAATTAGCTATCTGCGTCTAAAACTACAATTAATATTCGAGAGTCCACGTTAAGTTGATGTTGAAAATGACATATAGCTAGCCAAGTTTACTTCATAAACTTCGTCTTTATATACTTAGTTTTGTTGTATGCTTCGTAATTGAGATATAATTTTATTGTAATCATTTTCAAATTAAGAATGTAGAGGGCAAGAAATTCTGAATATGGACCAGTATCCAGAAAAATGTTTGCGAGTGAGGTGATATTTTTCTTTGTTGATAAAGAAAGATTGTTAGTTGGCAGTATCTATAATTTAGAATGGAAAAGATAACTATAAGCCTAATATATTTGTTTTTTATGGACTGTCGCATTTAACTAAATCAAAAAATCACAGTACGAAAAAGAATATCTCTGTTCATTCTACAAATTTACATTTCCCATGTAACTGTCTACAATATATCTATTTCATATGTCATTAGGCAGTGTTGAATTATTTCTCGAGGAAGAAGTCAGCAACATCACGATCTGGATACCATCAGGCGAAATCGTGCACTTGCCGTGTTGGTGGTTGCGATGTCAGAAATGGTCCGCGACTGGATACGGCTGGATACGAACAGATTTTCAGATTATTTAGTCCTACAGAAAGTTACTTGAACCACGCTCATACTGCTCTGAGGGTGGAAATAGACAACCTGATTAAAACGTCGGTAACACGTGACAGTTTGGTCATACACGAAATCGCCACTCGCATACGAGTTGTTTGTCCACCAGGCAGTCAAACAAATGAGCCTACACCATTGTTCAAGTCAGTCATGAACGTGATTTTCTGATAATTTAAATGGATTATGGAAATTTAAAATCTAAAGAAAGTTATATATGTATGTATAATGTAATCACTTAAGAAGGAAGAAGCTAAATTTGGGACCCGATCTTCATAACCATTTATTTATTTATCTTGTCGGATTATTTGTTGGCTAAAAGCTGTCGAAACTGTTTTATGAAAATCTAAAGGAAAATTCATGATTGGAGTCAGATTTACTCAAGGTTAAACAAAATTTACACAAAGTATGAATGATCGTTTGTCGTTTACTGTACAGTTTGTTCCATTTTTATTCTCGGAGTTGTTTTTAAATGTGTCACACCAATTAAACAAATTCCATTGTCCTTAACTGTAACATTAATATCTATCAATTGAATTCTGTAGACTATGACTGGTTTTTTGAACACCAGTTCAATGGACGTTGGAATCGATGTTGCGGATACTCGTTGAAATTTCCATTCATGAGTGTAGAGTTAAGATATAGGGTTAAAAAAAGATAAAGGATTGCACATTAAATCAAAGGGTTTGTAGAACTGCATATGATCAACCATTTTAAATTCACATCTTACAGATTCAGCTTGTTCAAGCCAAATAGTTTTTGATTCTTGCTCGATCAAACTTTCATCTGCATACTTTATGTAGTGATCGGGTTCATTGAAAAATTCAACCTTAAGAAAATAGGATATAACACATCGTGTATTTCACGCGAAAATGAACATTAACATATTGAGAGAGCAATTACTGTATAAAACAATTATTCTTTAGTGTTGATCTTATTGTACTCGATAAATAATTTCACAATATTCCGTTCCTGATTTGAATTGTAAATGCAATACCCTGCATTCCATTCCCACAGTTCTATGTGACTTGAATAAAGGTGGAAACGTGATAAGCAGAGTACGAACTGGACTGTTTTAGGTATTAATAGTTAATATACTTAATTCAACTATCACTACTCATCATAGATCGTCACTAATAATTTTTTTGTTCTGCTTTCATTTGGCGACTATGAGATGTGTTAAATTGAAATTCTCATGGTGAGTTAGTTTCATCGTGTGAACCGTCAAGTTGAATTACGTTTTAGTAGTGCTTGCTTCATTCGCAATAGTAGAAATCAAATAAATCAACTTTCAGTGCTTTAGTATAGTAAGAAAATTTAAGCCATCATATGTGCCAAAAATATGGAAGAAAATTGAAAAACAGTAGTAACCTGAGATGTCACTAGTTTGATTTCAGTGGTGACTTTCTGTATAGCATTTAAAGTACTGCCACCACGGCGAGCATTATGCGAAGTAAGGATGAGTTCGGTGTTTCATTTAGCACAACAAATCATAAAGTGATTCTCTCCGATGAAATCTTAATGTGTTTTACTTATGGAATAATACAGCTGACTAAGAACAGATTTGGAGGTGAATATAGTTAATGTTTGTTTTTCTGTAAGGTGATTTCCTTTCAAATACTTTGCTGATTTCCTCGAACGTATTGTTAGCTACGATTCTTTATAACTCATAACAGTAATCTTTCGAAGTGTGTATTATCTAATGTGATTTTGTTAAAATTTAGTAAACATTAAAAGAACACCTGCACAGTCAGAAGTTAAAAATCTGTCAGTTTACTTTTTATTCAGATTTGATACGACATTATAGACCTGATCAATCCGATCTCTAGTAAGGTTGTGGATCAGCATCCCCGGGTAGTCCCATACTAAAACGAAATAGCTGCACAGAACCTCCGGATTATCAATGGTTGTCTAAGATCGGTCCGTCATGAACAGAGTAGAGGCAGACAAATGATCCTATTGTTTAGATCTTGTAGACCTTGTACATATTAGACTAGTTTGTATGTAGTGTTCGTGACTGATTGACCTCAGTTGGGGTGGGGTATCAATGGACATCATGGAGAAGTGGATGGCTGTTTCGAGTTCGGACATATCGGAATCAAAAAATATTTGTCACCAGTGAGGTTGGACAGTGATTGCACCATACAGCAAATTTCTACTTTCCAACCGCAATCCATCGGTGGTTTGATGAATAGACGCTAGTTGGGCCATGCTAGATTTTGTCATGTGTACTAACTAGTGAGGATTCCCCTACTATGGTGAAACAGTTGTCCAGTGTAAAGAATAGTAGTAATTATTAAGAAGTGGTTTATCTAGTCTTCACCTTGAATATATTTTACAGTTTCTAAAGCTGAAGTTGATTTAGTGAAATCAGAAGTGAAATTCTATTCCAGCACAGATCGTATAAAACACAAGATGAATTTGTAATTAGGTAATTACGGAACATGCTTTTAGGCACCACAAACAGTGTTAGTGTAAAATGTGACCTAATCTCCTGTCTATAACAGGCAAGGCATGTTTTTCAAAGATGTATGGTTGATTGCATGAAATATGTTTGTGTCATTGTTTAACTTCTGTAGCCATACATCAGTGTACAGTCGAATCGATTATGGCGGTACTCAGTCTGTCAGACTTTTGTTGAGCGTTACATAGGAGGTAATTTAGAAGTGAACTAATACTATTTTAAATATGAACAACTCACTTTGTGTTTATGATCTCCAATATCAAACTGAATTAAATTGGAATACTTTACTTTTGGCATAGATAGAAATTCATCTTCCATTGTATTCCTATTTAAAACACTTGAATTGATCATTTTACATGCGTTCTCCACTTCCATCCTTAAATACTGATTAGCTTGTTTGAGTGCTTGCACTCTGGATTCTATGGAATCAGGTAATGTACCAGAACTGTCTAAATCAGGATTTGTAAATTTCGCAGACTCATGAGGAGGTGATATCTGACGTAATTTATTTCGCTCTGAATACTGTTTAGATCTGTTACTGGGAAACAGAGGTATATATTTGTTCTCAATATATAATATCTGCGATTTTATTCCGAAAATTGCATTGAAAGTTAGAATTTCATTGGAAATTAGCAAACAAATATTGGTTGGTGTTATTGTCTGTCATTTTAGAAACCTAATTGACTTTCCACTGGATATGTTTATTCATCATCTTGGAGATAATGTCAAGATGAATTACATAACTCTGTTCATTTGTTTATGAATAGTCAGTCAACAGTCAACAATGCGTCTCCTTTTAAGTCAGTATTTTTATTATTTCGATTCAAATCCATCTCTTCATTATTTTACAAAGTTGTAGCAGTCAACTTTTGTTTGAACAAGTATTAATTTTTGAAGAAAGACATTCAACCATAAGCATGAAAAAAGCATATTTTACGTGAAATTCACCTTTGAATTCAAGTGGTGTAAAAGTCCGCCTGACAATCCCAACCAAAGTAGCCTGTGATTAATTAAAGTGTGTAGATAAACATAAGGTTTGCTTACAGTGTGTGCGTACTTCTATCCTCTCACCTCGTAAGAACATGCTGGTGTTTTAGTTTGTATTTAATCCTCTTTCGAACAATCGGATGCAGTCTGAGTACATTAAATGATTTTAAAGTAAATACCAGTATTATAACATTAAAATTAAGATTAAATAATTTTGTAGAAAGTTTTGAGTATTTATTTATCAAACCAAAAGTAATAGTGATAAGCAACAAAAACTGGTTAATCAAAACTAATTAGCAGTATGCTACTTATGCCGAACTGTTAAATTTCCTCCATGAAAATCATTTTAGGTAACCCTAAATGTGAAGTATATTTTTGTGCAATTATATAAATAAATCCCGATAAACTACAAAAAATAACCACAAACCTTGAAAGTTGAAGCTTTGGTAAACTTTCTGTTTCATCTTGTTCAGTTTTCTCCGTATTTGTGCTGTTATTTGTTAATTCTTGTGTAGCTTGGATACCAGTCGAAACTTTCACAGAATTTTCATGTTTAGTTCTGATTTATAAAATTACAAATGTCTAGATGCATTATTTGCAAAAGAATAAATAAATAAATTATAAATGCTGTTTGTTATTGAACTGGTTGACTTGTGACTCCTGATTATGTGGAGAAAAGCTACAATCGTTTATTCGTGGTTATTTACATCCACCTATAGACCCTTCTGGGCTACTGCCGGTCCAAAAGCGGGAGAAAGGAGGGTCGTGCTTGTGGTTGGCGACCGCATCCCTCAAAAAACTAACTCGCCAAAAAAAATTGCTAAAAAGAAACAATAATTTAAGCTGCTTTGGGAGTTAGGTCTGTAGTGAACGACAGCACCACAGGTCTTCATTACGAAGAGTTATGACGTCTCATGATGAACGTCAAGTACCTACGGAAGTCACGAGGCCGATGGCCCTTCTGGCAATTACAGCCCTTCCATGGTGTGAGCAGCCGGGAAGTAACATCCAGCTTCATGCCCGTAACAGCACACGAGACCAAATCGGTTACAATGAAATCGATTCTAGACCTAATAACTGTCTTATCTCCACGACTAATCCTATCGATCGTTTGTCACCCCACGCCGCTGAAGCAAGCGTTTAGAGCTCACGAGACGTTATTCCTAGCCTCCTGAAACCCCTTTAGAAGGGCAACAGGCTTCACTAGCTAGGACTTGAGAATCTCGCGCCGTCGATGTACGTTGCGTTTCCGAAACGCGCATACACGAAAGCGAGAGAGGTGGAAAAGGTAGTGGCGATAGGTAAATGTAGGCAACTGTCAAGACTTATCAAGGAAATCAGTATTAGGATTCCAAATTTGAAACTTTTTCTGAAAAGGATGGTCTTGTTATTCATTCTTAATCCAGGAGATTGGATCGATGGGCAAAACATTTTCGAAAACAGTTCTACTGGCCTTCAGCCATACTTCGGTTACCCACGATCTCCTGTCAACCTAAATCGCAAATCGATGTAAGTCCTCTGGCTTTTTATGAAGTTGAAAAAGCTATAGGAAATCTGAAGCGAGCGCGAGCTGCAGGTCCTGATAGACTGACCCCTGAGATATTTAAGGATGGTGGTCCAGTTTTAGCAGCTAGGTTGACTGAGATCTTAGGTAGAATCTGGTAACTGGACGTAATCCCATCCGAGTGGTCTCAATCCGTGATTGTCCCAATTTTTAAGAAAGGACAAAAGACTTCTTGTGACAATCATAGGGGAATAAGTCTAACTAATTTAGCATGGAAAATATTGGCCTCGATAATACTTCGACGCCTATCTTGAGCACGTGAAGAGCAGATTCGAGAGGACCAGGCTGCTTCCCGACATGGATGTGAATGTATAGACCACATTTTCACACTGCGTCAGGTGCTGGAACACAGACACACATTTAGGCGTCCGACAACAGTTGTCTTCATGGACCTTAAGGTGGCATTTGACCCTGTGGATCGTGAAGTTTTGTGGCAGCGTCTGTCACTAGAAGGTGTACCAGAGAAGTACATTAACCTTATAAAAGCTCTCTATTCGAACACTACTGGTCGAATTAGAACTTATGGCAAACTGTCATCGAAATTGGTTACTTCAAGTGGTGTCCGTCAGGCCTGTCAACTCTCTCCCCTCTTGTTTAATTTTGCCGTAGACTCACGTTTGGACATAAAATTATCTTCATCTGAATTTTCAGGAGTGGAGGTTCTACCAGGAAATTCATTGGTTGACTTAGGATATGTCGATCACATAATTCTACCTGGTGAAGACGCTGACAGAATGCATAGTCTTCTGACTACCCTTAGCAACAATGCAAGCATGTTCGGGATGCGGTTTTCTCCCTCGAAATGCAAAGTGTTGCTTCAGGATTGGGTTGTATTGGCACCTGAATTAGTGATAGGGAGTGAAGCAGTTGAGCGAGTTAAACCGATATACGTACACGTACGAAGTTCTGTGTTGTTGTTGACTGACATTCTAGATGGTAGATGGCATATCACTTTATTTTCAACCGTATACATATATTTTGATATGAATGGAGTTCTACTTCTTTTAAGCATGAGATTTAAATCTCAATTCATAATGAGTATTTGTTGTGAACGCCATATTCACTGAATATTCACACTGTTAATACAGTGGTAATGCGTTAATCTATATATGTTGCTTTTACGTTATAAATTTTTGATGTTTGGTAACATTTTGTCTTCGTACAGAAGAGAGGTCAAACTTTTGAAGAAAATACTATATGTTCGATTTTTGTAGTTGTTAATATTAAGGACTTCAATTTATTAGTGTTTATTGTGATTTATTCAATTCAAGGAGGTTGACTCGAAATCGTTTTTAATTACAAGTCTTAGTAAGCCAAATAAAGTAAGATATATTAGTTCGTTTTTAATTTATTATTTGAGGAAACAATGATAATCTTTAGATATTATCTCTGTTTGTAATATCCTTAACTATATATATGCACCACTAGTCTAGTCATTTTATTCAAATGAAAGTGTTCCAATCTCTGTATTTACCATAACAAATACAACCTTTGGGACAGCTAAAGATTCAAATAAATGCTGACCTTAATTTATCTAGTTCATCCTGGATATGATTATATTCATTTTGTAAATTTTCTCTTGATAATTTAACTGTTTCAAGTTCATTGTGCATTATGCGATTTTTCGACTCTACCGAATCTAGTTTCTGCTTTAATAGTTTGTTTTCGTCATTACTCTGCAAAACAAGAACAAATTATCTGATTAATAATTTTCAAAACTGATAACCTGATAGTCAACAAATGTTAATCAAAGAAGAAATAACGATCTGAATCTGACATTGAGACGACAAGCTTTGGTTTAAACTTTACAGTGATATAAATTTGATAAGATATTTTTATTATCTGCTTAGGGGTTACATAGTTCGCCAAACACTGTAAATTATGTAACTTACATTCGTTGATGCTTTCACAAGTTTGAATTCTTGATCTTTATATTCTTTTTCTAGCTTTTCAATCATCTTACAAGCTTCTTTCCATTTGTTTTCCATTTGGTAAAGTGATTCATTGAGATGGTTTGTTTTATCCTTTAATTCTGTTTCGTGTTTCGTTTTCATACGCGTTACATCGACTGTTGCTTTGCGTAATGCATCTGACCGCGCAGCCAATTCACCTTCAAGACGATTTACTGTTTCCTGTAATTGAGCTCTTTCGGTCTTTTCATAGAAACCAACAAAAAAAATACACAATCAAAACAATCATCATTCAGAATTCTCTTCAAATTGAATTGGTCAAGATGATCAACATTGATTACATCTATAAGTTACTTTTCCTAAATGTGATCAACAAAACAAATGAAAATCCTCATATCTTTGGGCAGACTTATGGTACCTGATTAAGCGGCGACGATGTCATCAGCATATTCTCAATTAAAAAGTGAATCTCCTTGTAAAAGTTCATTTCCTCAAAAGTCAGACGATCAGTGTCGTGTCTAGTCTAAAGAAGCTGATTCTTCCTTATAACTCAATGATATACCTACACCAGCGAGGCTACGAGAAGCAGTAGTTGGGTTTCCAGATACACGCCCGACCGTAGCTGTTACCTTGACGTGGTGGTCGGGTTTGCCTATCGTGATAACCCAATCGAGCTATATTGGTTGGAATATATGTTCCTGTAGGTTCTACTGAGGTGATGTCTGACGTAATTTATTTCGCTCTGAATACTGTTTAGATCTGTTACTGGGAAACAGAGGTATATATTTGTTCTCAATATATAATATCTGCGATTTTATTCCGAAAATTGCATTGAAAGTTAGAATTTCATTGGAAATTAGCAAACAAATATTGGTTGGAATATATGTTCCTGTAGGTTCTACTGTGGTGCGCGCTACTTATAAGTAGTATATGACACGAGTGTAAACGTAATGTCTGGCAGCAGAAGATGTGGGAAGATCAAGAAAGGAAGAGTGGGAACACAATGGAATTTGTATTAAACGCATGAATAGTGAAATTTCAGACAATGGATTGATGATGGATTGAAGATTCGCAAATTAACGGTTACGTTTTCCTATTTTATTGAGTAACTCTGTAATTTTCGTTAAATACAATTCGGTTGCTCTCACATCCGCCCTCATACTCATAACAGCACACGAGACCAAACTGATCACAATCAAATCCTTCCTTTTTACTTTACTTACGCCTGTTACCCTCAAATGAACATAGGCCGCCGACTAGTTTTCTCCAACCAACTCTGTCCTAGGCTTCCCTTTCCAGTTCTTTCTAATTTCGGTTCATTCTTCTCTTATCTTTCTCTATTTCTTGGCGTAATATGTTTCTTGGTCTTCCTCTTTTCCTTTTACCGTGAGGGTTCCATGTGAGGCTTGTCTTGTGACACCGTTGGGTGCTTTACGCGGTGTGTGTCCTATCCACTTCCACCGCTTCTTCCTCATTTCCTTCTCCACTGGAATGTGGTTTGTTCTCTCCCACAGTTCGTTGTTGTTGATCGTGTCTGGCCAACGAATCCGAAGTATTTTGCGTAGATAACTGTTAATAAACACTTGTATCTTCTGTATGATAGCTTTAGTAGTTCTCCAAGTTTCCGCTCCATACAGTAGAACTGTCTTGACATCTGTATTGAAAATTCTGATTTTTGTGTTGATTGATACTTGTTTGGAGTTCCAGATATTTTTCAACTGTAGAAATGTAGTCCTTGCTTTGCCGATACGCGCCCTCACATCTACATCAGATAAGGAAGCCTGTTATCGCTTCATATGCTTGTTTTACAAGGGAAACACCCTACTTCTGTCACACTCTACATTCAACAGTTCGACTTCTACCTCTGACTTGAAGTTGCTTCTTATGGTCTTAACGTTTTTCAATCGATCTGTTTGGCATGGTAAAACCCAAATGAGTAACCAATACAGCTCGGTTAGATAATCATGATAAACAAGCCTGACTGCCAGGTCAAGGTGATAACAACGATTACACTTACTTCTTGTGCCAAAGAATATTGTACGCTTATATTCACCATCACCAAATTCCAACGTAAAGGTTGCTATGAGATGCACAGAATTCTTTACCATAAAAGGAAGTTAAAATTATAGCTTTGTTATCATGCAACACTCTTTCCACACCTAATAACATTTGTTGACCGACTTATGATAACATTCTAATTTAACAAATATAATTGGTTTGTTTCATTATTTTCAACAGAAAAGCCATCTGAAAACTTACTCTTAAAACAGTGTTAACTTTTTTATATTCTGTTATCTGTTGTTTCAGATCTTTCACTAATTCCGTTAGATTTGAACATTGAATTCGGTCAGCTGAGTCATACTGATTATATTGGCCAGCGCATTTTGTCAGCTGACGTTCGCTCTCAAGCAGTCGTGACTCTAAACTCGATAAGGTTACTTCGTATTGTTTCAGCTAGAAAAGAAGAATGTAAGACGACTCAGTTGCAGATCAATCTGAATAAATATTATCTACATTGGGATGTGAATAATTTGGAAACGATTCAGTGTGTTGGCATATCTTACCAGTCATGAAAGAGTGATCTAGTATCAGATAGTTAAGATCTGATAATTATATTGCTTAGTTGTTAAATCACTTCATTTAAAAAAAAACGATTAATAAGGGTTATAACCACATCCCTCTTATTATACGATTCGATTTTCAGCTACTTAAACGAGCATTAATCCTCAGTAACATGACTGAATATTTGGAAATACGAAATATTTCGACAATACGATCTATGGTGGGTCAATAGTTTGTCGTTTGCTAATTTTTATATCTGCCAAAGATTTATATGCTTTTAATGTCTTTTGTAAAATATTGAAACTGGTATAAATATCTAATGACTTATATTTTTAATGTATTTATTCTCACTGATCAGCAATGTTATTCATTTGAATGATGTGAACCGGAGAAATTGAATCATTCATAAGGCGTGTTCTCGTTATTACTCATTGAACTTCTCATAAGATATCACGTGGAACTTGTGTTATATCACAGGTAGCGCACTTATGTAAACTTTTCTCATTGTGGTTTTATTATATTAATTAATCCATATGTTGTAAGTTAGTTGATATATGGAGAGGAGTTCCATTGGTTAGCAAGAGTAAGGATTCTTGTCTGATATCGATCTCCTATCGGAATGTATCTGTGAGCTGCCATTCATGCAAAACTTGCAGTATATCTCGTCATAAGAATTCCGTGTTATGATCACATTCTTATCAATAGGTCCTCCTATCCACGCTGTGAAACGCTTCCTCATAACCAGGGAAGTTAATATCTAATGAGGAGTTCCATACATGATTCTGTAGCTAAATGATCGGCGCGTACAGAGTCTGGCCTATTGATCTCAAAGTTGGGTGTCTAGTGAGTGCTTCATTCGACTCAACAGCACTCTGTCGAAGACTTTTCCTAGAACTGATAGTATTATGATGACTGTACATTGATGAGGTATCTCTGCTTCCAGGCTGTTGGTACTTGTTCTATTGTTGGTGCGGTAACATTTATAGAAAGGTCTGTGTGTGGTGTGGTGCGTTCAGTATGGTAGGTGTTCAAAGTGTTCTACCCAACTTTGTCCACTTGAATATCAGTGATTGATTTGGCCTCTTTGTTCGTGATGGGTTGTTCAGTTTGACTATGTTTTTCAGCTAACCTCTTCGTTGTGCCATGTATTGTCTTATATGTCCCTTTCCTGGAGCTTTTTCCACTTTCACTGTTGGGCTTTACACATATTTCCACCTATCAGGTCTAATGCTTCGCTTTACTTTCTTGTTTATTTCTGTATATTTGGCTTGTACCTCGAATTTCTTTGCTTTTGTTAGGCTGTTGTTGATGTCTTCTTGTAGTTCTTTTTATCAGTCTTACTCAAGGTATTAACAGAGATTTATTCCTTATGATGATGTTACCTCGTCTTACCTCATCGTCTGTCGGAGTTAATACTTCTCTAATTCCTTTGCAATTGTTCCTGTTCTTTGAGTAGATCTTGTAAGAATTGAGACTTATTACTGAGAACTATCTTGATTTCACTGTGTTTATTATCATTTTGAAGGAAGGTTGTGTTAAAGTCTTGTTATTTTGTTTGTTCAGTCTTCTAATGCTTCTTTAGTTTGAGCTTCATCTTGACCATCACCAGGTGGTGGTCTGGGTAAATATGGACTCATCTCTTTAATCTTCACTGCTATCAAAAATGGATGCATAGAACTAGATAACTGTTGATTAATTTCATTTCTTCATCGTTTTAAAGAATGCTTCGATATCCCTCGGTCTAAGAAATTCCCATCTTTTACATTCTTTTTGGCGTGTATTCCTCGTACGTACAAGGCTTTCTGCTCTTTATAGCCAGAGTAAAACATTACCTCTACCGAAGCTAGACTTTTATCTCCAGCTTGCGTCTAATGGGTATCCTTTATTCTGTTAATATTTTGGTTGTACCTTTTCATTTTCGCAGTTCTTTGATTGGTCCTCCCAGTCTCCTCCGTTGTGTGAAAATTTCATATGCCTTTGTTCATTGTTGTTCTTAATGTTAGAAGGGGGTATCGATCTCGTGACTTCCGAAGAAACCCTGCTTACACAATGGAGTGTTATAACTCTTCTGTAAAAAGACCCTTCTATGAACTTTTTTTGGATAGCGTTTCTAGCAAGTTTATTTTCTACTGGATAAGGTTTCTAACCCTATGTTCAATCCTTCTGTTTTATCCTGGTTTTGAGACCATGAGTAACCCTAAAGATGCTCCACACGGATATTGTATTCATTACTATTGAAAATTCATACTTTCCAATCGGTTTAAACACAAAACAAAAGTGTTTTTCTTGATGCTGAAAGCCTTATCGGAGTAACAATAATTGACAAAAGTCTCAGCTCATACACGGTAGGTCAATCAAAATTCTTCTGTTTGAAGTAATTCTGTATTTCTAAGTGAATAAATTGATATGAGCTGAGATTTCTGTAAATTCTAGTTCGATTGAGTTCGATAGACTTACTACCAGTTATATTTAATTATGTCGTATAAGAATATAATATTTTGAGAATGAAAAGTATAGTCATCGACTCAACTTGTTAGATTTCGACCTATTAAGAATAGCTACAAGTTGGCCAGTATATACCAACTATGGTATGCAACAAGTTGTTAGTTTCTCTGGGATATACTTTCAAGACAGGCTTCATGTTCTTCTTGGCTTTCAGTAACTTTTAAATCATATTAGTCGATGGTAAAATTTGTGAACAAATAATCTAATCCAACTGAACATCATTTCAATAGTCAACGGTTAGAAACGATGTTGCAAACTATTCAACACTTTATAGTAGAACAAACAAGACACTTCTGAAGCAAGGTGCATATATGAATCAAAATAAAACAAACCTCGTCTTTTTGCTTATTGGCTTTAGCTTCGGATAATTCATATTTATGTTTTGTTTCTAACAATTCTGCTTCAGTTTCTGTTAGACTTTTTGAAGTTGTATCTAATCTTGAAGTAAATAATTCCAATTCACGTGACATTGAATCTAAAGCCGATTCACGTTCTAGCAAACGACTTGAAAGTTCTTTGTTTTGTTGATATAGATGATCCACTTCATTCTGTGACAGATAAAATAACATAGCTGATTTGATAGGATTTTCAAGTTACTAGGAACAAGTGATATTTTCTTGATCAGTGAAGTTTTATCAGTCGTTAGAGTGATACAAATTGAAAAAATGAGCTAGCAGAGACAGTTTAGATGTACTGTGTAACAATAGTTCAGGTGGGAGAATTAAAAATTAGTGATAAATATATATATATATATATATATATATATATATATATATATATATATATATATATTAATGAACGAGTTTTAATTGGATTAAAGTTCAGGAACATGTAACTTGTGACATTAATCCTTCATAGTAAAACAATTTGAATGTGGGTTATATAAGTCTATCTATTAAGTGTAACTTGCTTAATGCCGTCCAAAATAAACTTCAGAAAAAAATTATTAACTTTAGTAGGAAAGATTATTTCTTACAGTGTACAAGTTAAAACCGATTAATCAAACCTTCCAGCAATTTTCGATTTACGTTTCTTAGATGTTCAGCTTCATTTATTTTGAACTGATATTATTAATTGGTAATTCTTTTGAGAAACATTTCATTTATATGAATACTTAACATATTTTAAGTAATTTAGAGGGAGTAGACAGCGAAGTTTCTGACGTTTCGATACCTAATATGAGTAGTCTTTTTAGAAAATTAACGCGAATTTTAATTGTTTCAGTATCAAACACTCTTATCGGAATATAATTTGCTCTGTCCCAAAACAAGAGACCATATTTTGAAAAGTCTCGTCTAGGTACTCATAAAAACGAAAACTTAGTTATTAGGCTCTAACTCCTGTCTGAAATTTGTTGATGCAGAAATGCAAGTCTCAAGGCAACAGATACCTGCTCATTTCCCAATTTTGAGGTTGTATCCAATCAGCGTTAGTTTTCCAGATTATAAGCTGGTCTGCAACAGAAAGAAGCCATTCAGCTACTCAAAATTAACAGAATTTAATAATAATAATAATCTAAGCACAACTTTATTGCAGAAGTAATTTAAAAGTGTTTATGTCAAGCATTTTGTCGAAAAACATACCGTAATACTATGAAGTTCTCTTTCCTTATCCGTTTTAAGTTTATTAAGGATATCGTTTCTTTCACGTTCATTAGCAAGCTCAGACTGTAACCGTTCAATGAATTGTTCTTGTTTTTCCAGTTGTTCCGTAAAGGCAAGCTTCATTTCCCGAAGATCCACCACTTCTAACTATTAAACATGAACAAACATGCAAAGAGGAATAAAACTTGTTCAGTTCTCATTCATTCCTAAACTGGATAAATTGTCAATTTATAATCAGTAATTGTATTGAACTGTCAGTCTATCCATGAAAACAAGCATTTTCATTGATAATAGTTTTTACAACCTTAAAGATATAGGTTGTGAAAATTAGAATGCATATAATGTTAGGCGGGAGTGACTATGACTCTCTTTAGGTAGCCAAATGCCTCGTCATCTAATTGAATGGGTATATTAGGTGACGTGCATAAATGAAGCCTTTTGGGGGTTGTGGTGGCAGCTACCTCTTTGTGGTCCTGCCAGGCGACGTGGCGTTGTTTACAGCGCTGCGGCTAAAAACCGTTCCGAACGCTTAGGATGCTGTGCCTAGCCTGGCCCAGAATAATGGCACGTTTTAATGGTCGCAAGGCCGTGGATGCGGTTTTGCCTCTCTGGGGATTAGGACTGAACGTCTTTAAGTCTGAATCCCGTCTACTGAGCGTAGGTAAATTTGAAATAATGGGATATGGCTTTCCAGCTTTCTTGAAGGCGGCCCTAGGCGATTTGTTTGGGGAAGCAGCCGTAAAGATCCTGGACTACTGACGCCGACCCTATGTGGTTGTCCCAAACACTCTGCATCTCAGTGTAGTGTGTCAACTGGCATCAATGCCCCTTAAACAAGGGTCTCCAGTTGGGTTATGTGATCCAGTGCTGAAAGGGTACTGAACGCCAATGATGTCTGCCCACTTATGTAGTGGAATTAACCCTGCTTGGCTGAGTGCTCGAGCTTGGTCGAGTTCATGACATCTACCCCATGGGAGGTTGTACGTTCCGGCTGACCTTGTGGGACAAACTCGATCTTTAGCTTCATATGGGGTTTGGGGGCTCCGATTGGTTGTATTAGCTCGAGGCAGTTAGAGATCAGACGGTTTGAACGGCTACTGGGTGGCTCTGTAATCCGTTTCGGGGTGCCAGGTCGAGCTGGGAAAGCCCGCATTGTCTCCCTTGCCGATTGGAGATTGTGGGTAGTGGATTGGTTGGAGGGATCGAGTTGATTCATAAGTTCCCGAACTGGGGCCACTGATCGTGTGCGTTCTTTTTGGACGTCCACTTGTCTGCAGACCAATCTAGACAACATGTGCGTTCCCGTATGGGGTAGGGGTAATCGCAAAATTGGCATTTGTGAGGATCCTTGTGTTGCCTAAAAAGCAGCCATGTGCATGTGCAGCAAGCTTGTTGGTTATCGATGAATATACGTTTTGAAAATTAGGATGCATATAAGCGAATAATATTGTTTTCATTTAGATCGTCATCAGGCTTTGCTCTAATATACACGGAAATATTAAAGCCGATCGCATAACTACAAATAACAAGGGAAAAGTACATCATTTCCCATTAATTTCATATTGTTCTTTTAGAAAGAATGCTAATGTAAATAACTCTAATCAACAACCATAAAGTCTGAGACCGATTCATCTCAAAATAAACTAGAATAATGGTTTTCGTTTACTTAAGTGAACATCTGAATTTTACGAATTTCATACTGAACAACTTGTAATTAACAGTCACCTGTTTGTTTTTATCTTAAACTTATTTCTTAACGATTTATTTATGACAGAAAGTCTGAAATTAAAATGGATTAATAGTTTGGTGGATAAAAGAATTTGATGCATGTCAAGAATAAGTAGGTGTAATTAGAAACGTGAGTCAGTCAGTCAGTTGCAACGTAGAACTTCGTACGTAAGTACATCAGTTCATGTCGCCATACCACATCAGCACAGAGATGTAATTGTCAATTCAAATCCAATAGTAGTAGAGGTAGTAAGCGAATTAGAAGTAATCGGAGAGGTTAGGACTACAAGATATTACTCAAGAAGTATGATTCAGTGAGAAAAGTTTAGAAAGTCAAAACTAGAGGTGTTGAAAAATCCAGAAGATTAGGATTTGAGAGAACACAAATAATAAATGCACCTGCGCCATTGCAAACGGTTTTGAGCTATGTCATTCAGGGTCTCTAACCATCGATTATTATCAGTACCAGACTTGGACTGCAATGTACCTTGGTAGCAATGGAATTTCAACACTTATATGATGACAATATTAAATTTTCCGTCAAGGCTGAATATAAAATAATGACGAGTTGAATTAAAACCTGTTAAGAATAACTACGAGTTGAAGCTTTTTGATTTACAGCTTTTTAACTAGTCATCACAATGTTGCACGATAAGATATCATTGCTGAACTATATCAACGAGATTTCCTAATTATTGCACAGCATGTGATACAGTTTCAAACACTAATCAAGCGGTCAACAACACATGTTTTATTTACCAGTCATATTCAAAATAATCGAGCGTTCTGTCTCCGAGCTGAGATTTCATCAGTCACCAGGCCATCGGCACTGATGAGACTCCCCAGATAAGTGAAGCGGTCTACACGTTCGACTACTTCACTCCCTATCACTAGTTCAGGTGTCGATGCAACCCAATCTTGAAGTAACATTTTGCATTTCGAGGGTGAGAAGCGCATCCCGTATATGCTTGCATTGTTGCTTAGGGTAGTCAGAAGACTCTGCATTTTGTCAGCGACTTCACCAAGTAGGACTATGTCATCGGGATGCTCTAAGTCAATAAGCGAGCCACCTGGTAGAAGGTCTACTCTTGAAAAATCTGACGAGGATAAGGTTATTTCTAGGAGCATGTCTATGATAAAATTTAACAAGAATGGAGACCGTAGACATCCCTGACGGATACCACTTGAAGTAAAGAATTCCGATGGCAGTTCGCCATAAGCTCTCACTCGACCAGTGGTGTTCGAGTAGAGAGCTTGTATGAGGTTAATGTACTTCTTTGGTACACCTTTCAATGACAGACACTGCCACAGAACCTCACGACCCACTGAGTCAAATGCCGCTTTTAGGTCCAGGAAGACAACTATTGTAGGACGCCTAAATGTGTCTGTATTCCAGGACCTGTCGTAGTGTGAAGATGTGGTCTATACAACCACGTCCAGGTCGAAAACCGGCCTGGTTTTCTCTAGTCTGCTCTTCACGAGCTTTCGTTAAGCGTCGAAGTATTACTGAGGCCAAAATTTTAGATACAATATTAGTTAGAATTATTCCTCTGTGATTGTCACAAAAAGTCTTTTGTCCTTTCTTATAGATTGGGACAATCAGTGATTGAGACCAGTCGGATGGGATTACGTCCAGTTACCAGATTCTACCTAAGATCTCGGTCAACCTAGCTGCTAAAACTGGACCACCATCCTTAAATATCTCAGGGGTCAGTCTATCAGGACCTATAGCTCGTCCTCGCTTCAGACTTCCTAACGCTTTCTCAACGTCATTAAGACTAAATGGACTTATGTCGACTTGCCATTCAGGATGACTGGAGATGGTGGGTAACCGAAGAGTGGCTCGAGGCCAGTTGAACTGATCCCTAAAGTGTTCTGCCCATCGATCCAGTCTCGTGGATCGAGAATAAATAATAGTCCCGTCATTTTCTGAGATAGTCTCACTTACACTAGGATTCCTAATACCAGTTTCCTTGATAAGTCGGATAAGTTGTCTACTGTTGCTTATCGCCGCTGCCTTTTCCATCGCTTTTGCTTTCGCCATCCACCACTGTTCACGGTCGTTGCGTAGGCTTTTTATCAGCCTGCGCCTAAGTTGACTTCGTTCTTCATCATGTTCATAGCCAGGTGGGATTAGTTTTCGGGCATCCATCAGATCGGTGGATGCTACTGAGATCCACGGTTTCATTCTAGCCTTATGGTCAACCTTACTAGCAGATATCACTGCTGTTTCCACAGCCTTTTTGATGTCATTCCAACCTGCTTGCGTATGGGAATCGCTTGCATGGTTGCTTAACTCTCTTTCTAGTTGTTCCTGAAATATATTCTTCGCCTTATTATTATTAAGTAAAACCCTAAGAGGCTTTCTTACGGTGTCTTTCCTACGTCCAGTAAGCCTCAAACAAAAGCGCGCTCGCACAAGGGCATGACTTGAATTTAAACATGTGCCCCAGAACGAGCAACAGTCCTCTATCGAACACATCCATCGATGGCTGATGGCGATGTGATCTAGTTGCGTCCAACGTTGAGACGACTTTGGAGGTCGCCAGGTCAACAGATGTTTTTCCTTATGCCTAAAGTTAGTGTTTGCTAAGAATAGGCGATTGTCTGAGCATGCTTGCAACAGACGGTCTGTTCTCTGAGCCGCGACACCATAACATCCACCTAGTTGTCTTTCATTTTCACTTAGTCTACCTACTTGAGCATTAAAGTCACCAGCCATTATAACTATATCAGAGTGCCTAGCTTTTTGGAGGAGGTCCGAAAGCTTTCTGTAAAACTCATCTTCAACCTCGTCTGAACTGCAGTCAGTGGGGGCATAAGCAGATACGATGAAGAGGCAACGGCGATTGTCCCTATCTTTCCGAGTCCTTACTGTCCCGTTTAGTCGGACAGCGCACAATCGACTATCTATTGGGATCCAGTCAAGGAGAGATTGTTCAGCTGTACGACTTAATGCTATGCCTACGCCAGCAAGACCCCTGGAAGCAGCATCAGGGCTACCGGATACACGAAGAGTAAATCGAGCTGCTTCTTTATTTTGACAAGGTGAAATCAGGTTACTGACTTTACTAGGATCCTGTATGTGCGTTTCCGAGACCCAGCATACATCGATGGCACGAGATTCTAAAGTCCTAGCTAATGATGCCTGTTTCCCTATTTGACACATGTCCGTACATTAAAAGCTCCAACATGTAGTTTAGAACGGGGTTTAAGGAGACCAGGAACGACGTTTCGCGAACTCGTGTCGTCTGCATTAGCTGTGCACTGTGATGAATGAATGTGAGAAGAGTTAGTCGTGGATATAAGAGAGGTACTAAGGGGTGTAGGAAGGATTTGATTTTGACCAATTTGGTCTCGCGTGCTGTTACGGGTATGAGGGCGCCTGTCACTTCCCGGCCGCCCACACCGTGGAAGGTTGTTTCTTGAGGGACCTGAAAAGGAAAAAAGATTAGTGTTGGTCTTGGAGACCTGGGTGCGTGACCGCAGAGTCCAAGGGACATTTGCTTGAGGCCGGTCACACACGGCCTTTTTATGAAACGTTTTTGAGGATTAGCTCCGTTCTTAAAGGCCCTTAGTGGGCACCCTTATCGCCGGAGACGGAAATCCGTGAGTTAGGGGAGGTGTGACATTTTTAGGGCCGACTTTTTCTAACCCTTCCTTCCTTGTGAGAAGGCAGCATCGCTGCAGATGCTGGTTGTCCGAGGGAAACACCTCACTGCTGTCACAGCCCTCTGCAGTCAGCAGTACGACTTCGCCCTCAGACCTTGGGTAGCTGTTTTTAGTCTCATCGTTCTCCAATCGACCAGCCTGGTATGGTAGGACCTGCAGGAACATATATTCCAGCCAGTATAGCGCGGTTGGGTCATCAGGATAGTCAAGCCCGACCACCACGTCAAGGTAGCAGCTACGGTCGGGATTAGAAACGTGAGCTGCCAATGGGTTTGGAACTCAGTGCAACCAAATCGACAGAGTTCGATCAGCATTGAGTTGACAAACATAATGTTGGTTACTCTTAAGTAGTTGATAATGAAAGCTAAAACCTATTTCTAGAAAATTTAGTGCAATACAGAACGCTCTCTTGAACTACGTGAAATTATCAATATGTGATGATATAATCAGCTAAATCCAAAAAATCTGATAGCGGACTGACTAGAGCTGAAGAACCATTGCAAGTCAGTGAGCACTTGACAGCAATTCAAATTTAGTTTCGACAGCTTAGCAGTGTACCCTAATGAACCCATTGGATATCAGGTCCAGCACTTTCAGACATTTAGCCGACTGATTTACCTTCATACGATCAGGCTGGAGGCCAAAGGCTTACACTTAAAAATAAAATTACTAGTAATTTTTTACTTGTTACGTCAATGAAAAGATTAACAAAACGTCTGTATATAGTGATTTCATGACCTGAGTTTCATTGTTCTTGGACAACATATACTTGAATGTAATGACGTTACCTCGATAACCGAATGAATCCTCCAGCTGACTACCATTGTTCAGAAAACCTTACAAGTCTCAGAAATCCGAATGTCGTAATTCCGAATTCCTCATAATCGTATGTGAAAATAATACACAAAATAGTTTAAGCTATCACCACCTACCTCGAGGCGTTTACGAGCAAGATTTTCCGAATTTCTTTGTAGAGTACATTCTGACAGGTCTGCTTTGGCAGCTTCTAATTCATGTGCCAGTGATTTAATTTGTGAAGACCTGCTTTGTAGTTCTGTTTCACTTTCAATTAGCTGGTGGCGTGTGTGTTCCATTTCAGTTTGAAGTCGTTGAATTATACTATCTTTTTCAATCTCCTTTTAAAATTAGTCATAAATCAGGTAATTTTCAATGCTTATAAATCATTTAATTCAAGTTCAGAAATGATTACTATGAAAATAATAACTTCAAGACAGGGGATATAATAATGAGAGCAACTGGTCGCAGTCCTAATGTGTAAGGATAATGAAATCACTTTTTTGAATTGTCCTATTAAAGATCAATGTATTTTGCGCATTACGAGTTAAGTAATCTAAAATTACGATGTGGACTGGCCGTGCCTCATTCAGTGACTGGAAATCATTGTTCAAACTGGTCAGTATCAACCAAATATAAAAGTATAAAATTTATCGTTGCTCTGATGTATTAGTGGAATTCAGTATTTTCAAGGCACATTTTTTGCCTTATCCACACGTAAAAACTTTTAGCAGCATGTTAATTACACAACTATTCAGCATTCTCGACAAAAAGACATGTATTAATCTGTGTTTACTAGTTTTATAACCTGAATTGGTAATTTTATCGCGACTTGAACAGTAAGCTTGTTGAAAGGATCAATGCTTTGACTGGAGTATAACATCTAGACTTTTCAAAATACCTTGATCTTGTCTATGCACATTTTCGCTTAGATGAAGACCATTAACAAGTGGGTTTGTTTGTCTTTAATTTTACATTTTTCAAAACATTGATAATATGAAGCATTTTAAGCATGATATACTTGATGTGTTATAGCACAGCAAGCTGATTGATCTTCGGTTGTGAAGGTATTATGATCACTGTTCAGCGTTCAGATCTTTAAGCCTTGAAATGAGGAATGAATCGCTGTTTGTCAAGACGACAACAGCATACAGTTTGATATTAAAATAAGACTATGAAATCCGACTGAAATAAAATCTACTTACAGAGTTAATATATTTATTGATAATTTGTTCCGTTTGACTAGATGTCTGTTCTAGTGATTTTAACTTTTGAGCAATTGTCTCTCCATTATTCTGTAAATTCATAATTCGTTCATCTTTTTTAGCCAGTTCTATTTTAATGGCAGCTGATTCACTAACAGCAAGATTGCTTGCTTTTTCTGCCTCCAAGCGTAAAAGTTCTGATTGTTCAAGTTGTTTAGTTAATTGTTGAACACTGAATTCTAATTCTTGTATCTAGAAAATCAGTTGGAAAAATAAGTAATAATAAAATTTAACTAAAGTGAATCGAAATTTTACAATGTATGGTATAATATAAACAGGGAATTATGCAAATCTTTTTTTCAACTAAAAGTTTGCATCATTTTATAAAAATAAAGAGAAATTTCCTTTTTGACTAAAAAATATTTACTTAAGCTGTACATTTGTACTTATAGCTGTTTGATAAATACATAAATCTATCAAAAGTCAGAAGAGTTTGCATCATAAAGTGATCCAGAATTTCAAATATCAAATGGAGGTAGCGTAGTGATCAATGGATTTGAGAATTGTGGTTTTGGGAACAAATTCAGGCACGGATACGAAAAAAGTATAAAACGTGGTCATAAAAACAATTGACTACTTATTTAATACGAGTAATAGGTAGTATAAAGCAAAAAACAAATATTAGGCAATCAAATGATAGATCACGACCGTAAAAAGACTAACCTCTAGGCATTAACAAACTGATAATTTGCCACCTATCACCGCTCATTACTTGTGTGCATTTGTATGAAAGAACTGTAACTACCTTCTTATAGTTTATTAATTACAATAGTGTATTTTAGGCTTTTTTACACCATAGTCTGACGTTATTGAATGATCTGTATGACTGTCTCTTAATTTGTTGAACTACATACTGATCAGTCATGTATATTTTTAAATCTTTCTCTTGCGTTAAATTTCATGAAAAAATTCCAAAGATTCACGTAGTCATTTTCAATAATCTACTCACCGTAAATTCGGCATTTTGAATTCCCGCCATATTTTGTTTGATTTCATTTTGCAATTTTTCAATTTCACCGGTTCGATTTTGTAATTCGTTCATTAGGTCATTGTTAGTCAGACTTAATGATTGGGTATACTGGTCAGATGATTTTAGTTGACTCTCCATTTCGAATACTTGTCTTTCTAACTGATCCAACTTTACTTGTTTTTCATTCAGTGTTGAGTTTAAACGCTGTATTTCAAGTGTAGACTCGTCAGTTCGTTTCTAGATTAAATAATTGAAAAAAGCACTGATTTGGTGCCTGAACTAAGCAACGATAGCAAGTGGGTAATTTTCATCAAAATTTAATGTTGCCCATTAGTGTAATTACATGCATTCTACAATAAGTAATAAACTGTGTTATGTATATACTGACTGTTTTCAGCTCTTAAGAGTATGGAAATTATAAATTTCAGTTCACACAAGACATCATTTACAACTGAAACGACGTTTCATGCAGAGATATCAACCAACTATTTATAAAATGTCAATATTCTGTATTGATAGGTAAGATGGAAAGATCGAGAAAAGTTTTTATTGAGACTCTAAAAATTAACAATAAGTTACAGTGAGTTGTATCAAAATGAAAACTAGACGCTGTAATAGATTTCAAGCGGATTCGGATCAAATGGAGTAACAAATATAGCGAAATTCTCTTCACGAATCGGAAGAATGTATGTCTATTTCAATGTTCGCGCCGGCTGGCATTACATTACTGATAAATATAGAAAAGTTTCATCACAGATCATTTCATTATTTCAGTGAAATATCAAAAAACATTTTAATTCTTGAATCGCCTTTCGTTTAACAATTCCCTATCACAACTAGTATCCGGGTATTAGGATATTCATCAAATATCCTAAGAGAATTATTTCTGTAAGTCTAATTCTATTGGTCAACTCCTACTGGTCAATATTATGGTCGTCCTAGCTATCAATGTCACAGACTTCAATGTTGTTTCTCATTGGTCGTCCTGACTATCAATGTCACAGACTTCAATGTCGTTTCTTATTTGACCTAACTGTATGGATACGCATCATCTGTAACGTTTAATGAGCCGGATCCTTCGTCCAGGATCATTTTCCTCTTCTGGACTCGGACTTCGTACTTTCTGGATGTTTGTAGAATACAGGTTTGAGACGCTGGGATTAGAGTAGCCTGTGGTGTCGCCGAGTCCTCGATCCTCGCTCTCATTTTCTGACTAAAGTAAGCTCGTAATAGTTCGAGCATATCAAATCGACGTGTTTACGTACATGGGTAACACCGGGTATGCAATCGAACTGCCAGTCCAACAGCGGACTCAAAGGTGAATAAGGTAAGGGAATTCGACACAACAATATACAAATGAACTTCTGCTTTTCACCCAGTTTGTTAGTGCAACCTCCTCCCCCCTACTCTAATCACAAAGGCTAAGTTTAATCTCCCAATGGACTGTCCAACGTGGAAAGAAGCATGTGTTTTTGTTACATATTTTTGAATTTTCTTAGGAATCAGCGATTAGGATAACTAATTTAAGACATGAAGATCGCGGCGTATGCTTTTGGTCTACATATCCAAAGCGGTAAATATCAAAGAAATCCTTTTTTGGTTGATTCAGGTTAAATTTCTAGAAAACATCACATTTCTCAACATCTTGTAGTACAGTTCAAGTTGACTTTAGTTTAAACTTACTCTTAGTGAATCTAATTCTGATTTTGCGTCAGCCAGTTCTTTTTGATTTGCTGTAATGCAATCGTTCATTTGTCCAAGTTCACTTAGTAGAAAGTTGACCTGAACCTCCATTGACTGAACCTTTTTGAATTAAATATCATATGTTATTGTAGTACCAAATATCCACAAGAATACTGTAACATGATTTTAAATTACACACAAAAGATCGTTACGAACATTTTTTAATAATAAATACACCGTTTATGCGTATTAAATCTTTTTGAAGTACGAGATTGGAATTCTAATGTAAATGGACTAAAAAATTTATTAATTAAGTAGTTCCATCTATTAAATACATTAATATATCATTCGTATGGTCTTCTCCTCAAGGATTAATCACAAAAAGAACTTACACTTTCATAGTTGCCGATAAATTCATGTGATACATAGATTTACTTGAATTAGTATGAAGCTAAATAACTAAATTCGATAATTGCGTCAGTGAATAATGAGGAATCGGGTTCATATTGAACATAAGTGAATGAAGTGGAGCCTCGGAGAAAATGTCTTGCATGAGCTAAAGTGGGCAGTTGTTTTAGAATGCAAGTATTTCTGGAAAAGACACATCGAATAAGTCTTTACTGCATAGAAAATTTATTCGATATGAGCTACAGTAAGTGTTCTTTAGGAGCTTTGACGTTACTTGGCTATGAAAAAAGGAATTATGACAAGCATAAAATTCTTAGCAACTGTCAATATTCTTTAAGTTTACATGTTTCAATAGGATATGTAAACCTGACTAGATAATCGATGTTAGTAATCAGGTATCGATTTATACGATAGACACTACCTTATGTCCGAAATATAGTGACGATTAGGTCATAGGCAAGGTTCTATAGTTCACTGACTATACAGTGAAACAAGTGACTAGGTGTTTTAGTATGAGACATGCAATAGTCTAAACTAATAGAATTTTAATCAACAAACCAATACAAAAAACTAAAGCCGTAGAAAGTAAATCCACTTTTTCATACTTCAGAATCGTGAGTATGGTGAGTATTTCGATATTCTTCAAATTCATGTTGTAAACATTTTCTGTTACTTTCCACTTCATTTAAATGTTCATTTGCCCTAGTCAACATTTCTTGAGTTGCTTTCAATTGATTGAATAGGTTGTTTACTTTCTGTGCACTTTCTTCAATTGCCATTTGTGTTCGTTTAAATTCTTTGGACATGCGATTTACTATTGAATCGGAGCGGTTTAACTATAAAGGAGATAAATGAAACAGAAGTACATTTTCGTTCAATTTATGTTAGTGAAAACTACGTACTACCACTGATTGATTAAATAGATAAGTAAAGTGGATGTTGATAAACTAGTTAATAAGGTAGACTTAAAATCGAAGACACACTGAAGCTACAATGGTTATGTTCTGGAACACAATAGCTGTACTCATTTGAAAACTCATTGGATTAGATACTTAGAATCACGGTGACTGGCCTAGGTTTTTTGATATGGAATCAGCTTTTGATCGATCGCTCTGTTAATTTTTAACAAGTATCACCTTTTTCAGCTTAACGAACATCTTCAAGAGACAACGTCTCATTGAAACTTCAGACAAGCGTAACAGTTGACAATGTACTGGCATCAAAGTCAAATCATAATTATGAAAAAGCTAACAGAAAACTTATTTATTCAAGAAAATAAATTTAAAAGACATTATTCTTTACGTTTTTGTAGGGTGTTCCACAGTTAATGAAGAGGAAATCATTCACTAATACTCTGCTTTTCTATGCATAAATGCAGAAATAAATCTAGATCCATACTTCATACCAAATTACTATTTTCGACTCCGTTTATCACTTATAATCGGAACATGCAAATGGGTTTGTGAAAATGCATGATAACACTCTTACTAAGATATGATGTCATAATCTAATAAGAATACTATTTCACCGACACACACACAACGAAACTCAAACTCAACTTTGTAATACCTCTTAACATACTATCTTGATAATGGATCATATAACTTTGATATGTACAATGACTGTTCTACTGTACAATCTTTTCTAACATGCAGATATCACCATCTTTACTACTATGGGATTTGAATTTACAATTTCATCTTCCAGTACTAATAAAGTATGACACCCTGAACTTATGTACGTACATAATAAGCTCTACTTTATAGCTGACTGAATGACTTAACTGACACAACGTTAGTTCACTTGAGGTCATGGATTCACCTTGACATTTGGTCACAAACTTGGGACAGGTTAGGATCATATCTTACCAAATGTTCTTTATTGCGCGTCGTATTAACGTGAATAGTAAGAAAGGAATATGATATAATAAAAAGATAAATTGACAATTTTCAGCCACATTTCAGGTGAACCAAAACACTAACTTGTGCTTGCTTCTCTTCAACTTGTTTTTGCGCTATTTGTAAGTGTTCTGTCAAAGTGCTTAATCTCTGTTCTAGTTGTGATTTGATCAATTTTGTTTCATCTAAATTCTTTCCAACTTCATGTAGACGGCTTTGTATAGTTGTATTCGATGTTTTGTAAGATTCCAACTGTGTTTCTAATTCTTGGTACTGTTAGGTTAAAAAAGCTTCGATTAGAATAGTTGGATTAAATGAATATAATCATACATAGAATGATGGTCATCATTCTTATCACACATGGACAAGTAAATAAGAACCTGAAAAGCGCAATAACTGGGATATCGATTTGTTTGTTTGTTTTTGTAAATGTAGATATTTTGATTTGAGGGATAACTAATAGATTTTTTATTAAGCATCGTATCCATCTCACCAAGTGTATGTTGAAAGTGGTTTAGTTCATTAGTGAATGTTTTGAATTTAGTGATAAATAACTTGAAACTGGGTGAGTAGTGAACACTAAGTTTTCACAAAACAGTTAGCAAACTACTCAGATGAATTCCAGAAAGAACTAAGCAGATTGTAGAAACTCCTTACGTTTTTTCCTTGATATAAAATCTTAAGCGTAATCCGATCGTGTATCAACTAACTAAGTTTCTTTTTATATCCTTAAAAACGATCCACAGGATTTGGTCATCATTTAGGTCTGTTTGAAGCGTGACATTAGTTACTGGCCAGATATCAATTAGCGTTGATGCATGTCAATGACAGATTTTACACAGAAATAACCTAGGGATAATTTATTAAATATGTATTGTCAATAAAATTACTATCCATTAGATGAAATCTCTAATCTATAAAAATTAACAGGACATCAAGAAAATGCAATTCTTAATTCGCTTCTGTTTCATTTGTAAATTGAATTGATTGATGAACATTATTAAATATATCTAAAACTTCATTGAGGTCTATATCTTCTTTGAAAAGGGGAGTGCAATAGTGTCTGATCAACTCTAGACTTGTCCCTCCTAAGGAGTTTTCCTTTAAAGTGATATATACACTTAAAACAATTTAACTGGAAGTAATTGAATGCTAATAAAAAGTGAATAAAGTAATTACTAATCTTACATTAGTGATGGCTGTTTTACTGGCCATTTCTGCAGCATTTTTATGTACAATTGTTTGTTCAAGTTCAAGTTTTAAATTCTGTACTGATTTCTCCAATTGTTCTTCATTATGCGATCGCTTAACAATTTCTTCTCTTGACTTTATCAACATTGTACGACTAGATGATAATTCACCTTGTAATATTTCGAGAGATATACGACCTTGCATTATTTGTTCCTGTCAGTAGAGATAATGAGATTAATCAGAACTGACATTTCATGGAATATCTATCATCGAAACTTTGTACTTTACAGATGCATTTGCTTAAAACAACAATGAAATTCCACGGACAGGTGAACGGAATATACTGCATTGAGACATAAAATAAGAAAGGCGGCTACAGCAAAACAAAATCCCTATTTTTTTGGCGAATTCATTTTAAAAGCTATGCAATGGTAAATACATACTTATTATTCAAAATAATAGTAATGATAAAATTTCTCTGAACATGGTAAAAGTGACGATAAGCAACTAAATAAAAGGATAAAAACGTCCATTTTTCTTAAGGATACTAATCATCGTTTTGTCGGTGAGAGCTTGAATTAAGCAGGTGGATTACGAATCATAGATGGAAAGAGCAGAATAAAATTTTGAAAATTCAAATTACGAGAGATTAGGACCGTGATCGATGAAAAGATGACAGAGGTTTCTTTTGTACACACAACTCGAGTCTTTCCAAATATTTAACAAATGCTTCGGCAATGCCAACTAAGAAAACAGAAGCTAACGGCTTTTTTCTTTATTTAACTTTGCTGTTACCAAGTTTAGCAAAATTTAATTATTACTGTTATTATTATCACTTTTAAAAATAAGTATATATATATTCACGATTGCAAAGCTTTGAAAATGAATGAATTAACCACGTAGAGAACTAACTCTTTGCTGAAACCAACGTTTTTTATTTTGTATATATCACTAATTTTTTGCAAACTGAATGAGTTTTTTGATGACTGTGTTCGAAGATAGACTTCGAAATAGACGATAATTTAATTCAGAAGAGGTAATGATCAATTTTCAAGTAACATGAGGACGCATACTAGGAACTAATGCACACGGACAACATCGACGAAATCATACTAGTTAATAATTTTCTGAACAACTGGCTTACAAAACGTCAGAAGAATTTTAACGTCTTTACTCACTGGGACACGACGTGTGTATTATTTTTACCGGTAAATGTTTTCACCACGAACTGTGTAAGTTAGCTGACCTAATATTTTGCTAATCAAGATTTCTACATAATTTCGAACATTCTTCATTTGGTAAGCAAAATATCAGAAAAGCTCTGATTTGAATTTGTAAAATATTTTAGCTAAAAGTTCTATTTCAATGACCTTTAAAGAATAGATTAAAATGATTTAGATTTTTGAGTATTCGTTTGGCTTAGTATAATCGCTAGTTGACTTTTTTATTTCAGCTCAATAAAGACAGCACTTGACAGTCTGGTGTACTCAATAACCTTCGTAGTCCATAATTCTTTTACAATATTTAATAAGTTCATGATAATAGACGTTAGTGATTCGTTCGTGTGATTTCTCAAAAACATTAGTCAATGGATGAGTTTAAATTTATCAAGTCAAACATATACCATCTGTGAAATCCCATTTAACCACAGTTCTCAATTCCGTAAAAGAGTTAACAAAACACCAAATAAAAATCATAATTAAAAAAATCACCTTAGCTTGATCTAAATCCATCGACAAACTTTCAACTTCTCTTTGCTTTTGACTGTCAATAATTTCTAATTGTTTTATTTTTTCTTCAAACGAATTCTGAATCATTTTCTGCTCCGATTTGAACAATCCAACTGAGTTGATTTGTGTCTCTAACTCCTAGAAAAATATTAGGATAAGTAGGGAAAGTTGAAAAATGGACATTCTCATCTAACTAACGTAAACCATTTTCGCACATAAGAAATAGTGCATTCATATAAATTCTGATGTAAAGTAATCTAATGGTTGTTCATTTTGACCTTTTCTTTACTGTGCCAATTCACAACATCCGAAAAATGAAATTTGTTTTATCAGAAAAAAAACTTCAAATTAACATACCCGATGACAGGATTCAAGTTCATGAGTAAGCGATTGAATTTGTTTCTCTTTTTCTTCCAGTATGTTTGTTTTAATCTGTAAATTATCTCTATATTGAATAATCTCATCCTTTTGATTAGAAAATAAATTTAGAAAGAAGCAATCGTATTAATCAATCAAATTTATGAATAGGTTAAAAATTATGATTTTCTGGATTTATGGTCTTATTTTTCAAGCATATTAAGTAATTATTATCAAAATGATCAATTTGCAATTAATGGAAACATCTATCAATCAAGGCAATGTATATTATTCAGAAAGTGGATTGCAAAACGATGTAATTTAATATAATATTCAGCAGAGTGAGTATTCATCGGTAATGATAAAATATGTCTGTGGTAACAACATCAATACAAAACGGTAATTACACTAATCACAGATAGTTCTGAATTGTATTTCAATATAGAACACGAATTAATTCTCATTTATGATAATAATGATTTACCACGAAAATGCTCATTTTTTCATGGACTCTGCTTCAAACAGCACATCGTTTTCAAAATGACTACGTCCTATTATGTATCGACCCTAAGTACATGAACAGAAATAATGTACAGCGGACGTTTGTTCATTGATTTATATCGTTAGGATAGATACGATTCAAATAATTATATTCGTGTGCGACAAGCTACTCTATTTTAATCTAATCAAGCCAATTCTATTACAGGTGGCAAACCAGAGATATTCAACCACCATTTTTTACCAGTTAATTAATTATAAATCATAATTTACGTTCATCATGCTTGTTCTTGTTTGCATTAGCTGAAAGCTTAGTTTATTTAAATATCAATGTATCATTTCAGTCATTTCGTTTGTACCCTCGTGTAACTCAACATTAACTCTCATTTATGTGCACTTTTAATACATTCATGTTCGTGTGCTGATTGATTTACCTATCTATTAACTAGTTTAGACTTGCTATAAAAACTAAATGTTAGGATATTCATCAAATATCCTAAGAGAATTATTTCTGTAAGTCTAATTCTATTGGTCAACTCCTACTGGTCAATATTATGGTGGTCCTAGCTATCAATGTCACAGACTTCAATGTTGTTTCTCATTGGTCGTCTTGACTATCAATGTCACAGACTTCAATGTCGTTTCTTATTTGACCTAACTGTATGGATACGCATTATCTGTAACATTTAATGAGCCGGATCCTTCGTCCGGGATCCTTATCCTCTTCCGGACTCGAACCTCGTACTTTCTGGATGTTTGTAGAATACAGGTTCTACTTCATATCAAGTCTTCTTCTTTGACTCAGTGGGTGTTTGAGACGCTGGGATTGGAGTAGCCTGTGGTGTCGCCGAATATTCGATCCTCGCTCTCGTTTTCCGACTAAGGTAAACTCGTAATAGTTCAAGTATATCAAATTGACGTGTTTATGTACATGCGTAACACTAACTTAATAACCTATTTACTTGGTTTATCACCCGTTTACTCATAAGTGAAAGTAGTCTAGTTGACTGGTGGTATGATGTTAATAGGAATAAGCGTAAGAGACTCCAACGTAACACTTTGGCTATACATAATTTTAAATAATATTATGAATGCTAAAATATTACTAAACGTCTGAAAACAAATTCCCAGCTATTTTTCCACTAAAATGACCCTCCTAAAATTATTCTCCAGACAAGCATGTGTACTATAGCACTTGCGTTTTTCTATACAGCCACGATGACTTCATTGAATATCAATATTTTTTGTCAAAATTTTTGGATGTCTGTGTAGGGGTTGGAAGTTAGCTGGAGCAAGTGATAGCTTGGACATCATTACAAATAACTAGATAACATATTCATGTTAATTATCTAACTGTACAAAACAAATCAACGATTCGATACATCTTCGAGTCAACTGAATGCTATTGAAAAAAATTTAATTTACAGCGTACATAAGATCAGCTTTATGTCTATAAAAACTACTAACCACATACTTTCAGCTCATTAGTTTTATTTTGCAATCGACTGATTTCCTTTTTAAGCTCAGTATTTTCACTACTCAGCTGATTTAATTCTTTTTTCATTTGATTGATTTCCAATTGATGTGAATTGTACGCTGAAAGTTTTTCTTCCTGTAAGGCACGAATTTCAGCTGCACTTGTTTGAGCATTTGACAGACTTTGCTTGGTCATTTCTTGAATGCCAGATTCCAACTGTGCGTTCACTGATTTAAGACGAGTTAACTCTGCTTCCAGTTGCATTGACCGACCGATCTGCAAATCTAGCTTTTCACGTACACTTGAAGTTTCTTTCAGCATTTTCATTATCTGTTTCAAATAGAGGCGAATAAAGATTACGTTAAAAAGAAATCTCTTAACATCAAGATCGGTGTAAACTACAGTTTATAAACATTCTGTATAACTTCTTATTTTCAGAAGTTATGAATAAATGCAGCAAACTTGTACCACAGAATTTCAAGGAAATGTTCCTTTATAGAAAAGAATGTACAATACGGAAAAATCTCTCTCACTATTGCATTTATTGATAAGAACCACTCTCTCCATCCTATGAACCATCAAATTATGATGATTGGTTGGCGTCGTCCTGATTCGTGTAAACCAATGAAGCGATTTTCAGATATCTTAGGAAAAGCTACAGAAAATGTGAACGACAGGATGTGTTGCAAAATATTCAGTATTTCAGCCGTTTCCCTATAGTTCACCTAATTAGATTATTCATTACTATTCATTGATGAGCTGCCTTAAAATGTTCGTCGCACAGTTCAGTTGGGATGTCGTGACATTTCCAACCATTTTTATCCATAGACCTCACCTTGTTTTCTTTTATTTTTAAATTACACGGCTGTTAACAGTATTAGTCAAGAAAGTTATTACACTATGTGGATTCCAAAGAATCATGTACGGGCGCCGTTTTACCTTGCTCACAGACCATTAGCCGTTGTTATCAATCTTTGGATCAAAGGAAGGCATTACTGCCCATTCTGCTAGTCCTCTTTAATGTTGGGCATTGGCGTTACTGGGTATGAATTTGACATCCAATATCGACGTTCCGAAGATTTCAGTCAAGTTAAAGCACTGTCCAAACTTATAAGTAACCATTCTACCACTGATGAGGATATAGTCATAGCCACAATGTCAACGGAAGAAGACTCCAGTGCTACACTATTAGCGAATACTGGTCGAGCCAAGGAAGCTGAAGAAAAGGTGAAATTATAAAACGCCTTCCACTTGATCTGCTCTTGGATACTTTTCAACTTCCGCCATTACCTCCAACAGAGACTACTGAGTCATCTATTTAAGCAGAACAGCCTTCAGGTTAAGCGTTGTTACCTCGAAGGTGGTCAAAACGCAAACGAAGACAACCAAAGAAATTTCAAGTAAACCCTCGGTTGTGTCGCTATTAATTTTTCTCAAGGAAGTTGTTAAGATATTCATTAAAATATCCCAAAAATAATTCTGTTAAGTCTAATTCTATCATTAAACGTAAAATTATATGTTTTCACTTTTTTCACATGTTTTCACACTTTTCACATATTTCACACCTCGTTCCCTATTAGTCAATATTTACTGTCGTCGTAAATCTATAAACGTGCATTGTCTTGAAAGTTCTAGGCTGACTTCTGAACCCATAAACAATTTTCATTTGACGGTTTTGTGTTTTGATATATTGGAGATTTGAGAAACAGAATTTGCGGTCGTACTGGGATATCTGAGGTTGGCCAATCGGTAGAATTTCGAGTAGCCACATCGCGGACCATATTAGTGGATGATACTGATTAGTGTCAACTTGCCATAGCAGGCATCTGATAAAATCAATATCATTCCCTATTTATATTCATTAATTCCTTTAGTACTATCCCAGTTATTACCCGTCAATGTTCTCGTATCCTGTATCGAATTTTACCTTGAAAGACTCGTCTATTCATATATCATGCAGGGTAGTGTGCTGTTCATCGGCTGATGTACTTTTAAGTTCTCTTTCACTGAATTATATCAATAAACTGATTTTACTACATAATCCAGGCACCTTTCTAAGAAGAATCTAAACTAACAAACAATCCCGTCTAAGTGAGCTTTAAATAAAATCAACGTCTGAATTAAAGGTGATCAACCGATACATTTGATCAAAAATAATTGATCATTACTCTGCACTACTAATATGCTAATGGCTCTTTATATATCGTGTTTGTAATACGAATATTAAATAGTTGACATTATTGTACTATGAATGCCAAATCAAGAAACAAATGTCTTGTTAGTAGATACCTTTTAATTGAATGACTTTCTAAAATGACTAGTCATTCAACCGTCTGCTACACATTAGATATGATTGAAAGTCTTTATTAGTTCTATCATGAAGGCACTACATTTGCTATTATTCTTGAAGTTAATAAAAACATGCATACTTGTCTTTTCCGATCATCACTGATGTGTTCGATATTTTCACGTTCTGCTTTCATTTTTGCCAATAAGTCATCACGTTCCTTCACCTAAAGATAGTTTTCAAATGGGAATCCGGAAGCTTTATGATGCTTGTATATCATTTATTATATGGAAAGAATTATTTAACTTAGATAAGGAGTAATCTTCAATTTTATGATTTACGTTGTTTTGGGATAAAAGTTAGCATTAAAATTTATAGTTATTATTCTCAAAACATCTGTCAATCGTGACACCAACACAGTCATGAAATCGAAATGCAGTGAGAGTAATAAAAATTGCGATTACAAGAACGTTTCATTTGCTCATTAACAGCTAGAAAATGTAATAGAAAAATAACGTTTAACTAAGTAGGAAGTGTGGTGTGAAAAAGGAGAATAAATACATAAGTTAGAAAGGAGACTGTTATGACATGTGGTTTTCAAGAGTTGAAAGTAAATCACAATCTTCTTATATAAGAATTTATGTGGAATGTGTGGAAACTCAGCCAATCCTCAACAAATTTTAGGCTCCCCACTAAATTATGGAACCGGAAGAGATGAAGCCATTCCGACCATTTTGGAAGCTTCTCTGCTGGTACTTTCTCTGAAGCGTCAAACTCGCCTCCCACCTCATCAACAACTATTCGATATGAGTGTGCCATGGAACTAACTCTACCATAATGTTAGCCTGTTTTGTACCGATTCGCATCTGTATGGTACGAAAGATCAAGTGATGTGGTCTCCAGTGTTTACAGTTCGTCAAGATTTCAACCGAGTAATTCAATAGGTCAAACACAGTGTTTGATGGAATAAACGGAAAGATGGAAATAATTTGTCCATTCGAAAGTCACGTAGGCGTGTGATAATACACGAAGTGCTACAGTGTTTCTAGAATTATTTGATGCTTGCAAGTGGAATTGTACTTTCCTGTTGTGTTATGAGTTATCAGTAAGAGCAAAACTAGTCATAAATGATGTCCAGATAAAGTAATTTGCAAAACAACGCAACATAATAGGACGAAACATCTATCCGTTGTTCTCTCTTTCTCAATGGTTGTCCAATTTAGGTCGGTTTTCAATATCAATAACATTTAATAATCTTCACAAACTGATATGCTCATGATTAGTATTCATCAATTTAGATGTAGATACATCATATAAACTGATCGACAGAAAACGTGTTCGACAAAGAGAAATGAAAATAAACATCTGAACTTACCATTGTTGACAAACTATGTGCATTATTTTCATATTTTGTCTGTAGATCATGACAGCGCTCTTCTAGTTCTTTAGTTTGGTTTTGAAGTGAATCTCGCTAGATGGTAAAAATAATAGTTTCAACTACCAGAATTCATCATAGTTATCTTTAGGTATAACTGATTTTGCTGAAAAGTTACATAGATTTAGTCACAATACTCTATTGTCTAGGTATACATTATGGCTCTTGAATTGATTACTGCTAACTAACTAATGCTAAACAAAGTGTTACCGCACCAACAATCGAACAGATCTGGCAAATCAACAGTGGTAAGTCAGCAGCACAACCAGACACTACAACAACTGAAGCACTGGAGTCAGATGTACAGGTCAATTTAAATATGCTCCGCCAGTAGAACCTTAGGGGCTACTGCCGGTCCCAAGCCCCGATAAAGGAGGAGGGTTGGACATGGAGTTGGCGACCCCATTCCGTCGAAATCTCACTTGCCAAAAAAACGCTAACCAGAATAAATAATTCAAACCATTTTAACTCTGCCCCGGGATTCGGAAGAAGAATAATGACGTCTCGTGATGAAAGCCGAGTTCCCTCGGAAGTCACGGGGCTGATGCCGCTTCTGACAACCAGAGCATCCACTCTTTTAGGTATATGGAACGTTCGTACATTGTGGAAGACTGGAAAACTATTTCATGTTGCGGCAGAAATGAAAAGATACAACCTCGAGGTGCTCCGCATCAGTGCAACGCATTGGACACAGCTTGAACAACTGAAACTAGATTCAGGGGAACTGCTGTTATACTCTGGTCATGAAGAGGAAAACGCTTCACATACACAAGGAGTTGCACTGATGCTGTCCATACATGCACAAAAGGCACTGATAGGATGGGAATCTCATGGACATAGGATCATTAAAGCATCCTTCAAAACAAAGAAACAGGACATTACAATGAACGTCATCCAATGTTATGCACCTACCAATGACGACGTTAAAGATCAATTCTACGAAAGGCTGCAGTCAGTCGTCGAGAAATGTTCACCAAAGGATTTGACGATTCTTATGGGAGACCTGAATGCCAAGGTTGGAATGGACAACACTGGATGTGAAAACATCATGGGACGACATGGACTGGAAGAAAGAAACGAGAACGGTGAGAGATTTGCAAACCTATGTGCCTTCAACAAACTGGTCATCGGTGGCACAATATTCCCGCACAAACGCATACACAAAGCCACATGGATTTCACCGGATCACACTACTCAAAACCAGATTGATCATATCTGTATCAACAAAACGTTCAGAAGGACTATGGAGGATGTGAGAACCAAGAGAGGAGCTGATATCGCTTCAGATCACCATTTGCTAATCGCCAAAATGAAACTGAAACTAAAGAAGCACTGGACAGAGGGACAGACAACATCACACAAGTTTAATACGGCCTTTCTTCGGGATACTGTAAAGCTCAACGAATTCAGGATAGCCCTCACCAATAGGTTCCAGGCCTTTCAGGATCTACACAATGGAGAGGAAGCAACATTGGAGAACAATTGGAAAGGGATTAAGGAGGCAATCACTTCAACATGTCAGGAGGTCCTTGGTCGCAAGAAGCAGCATCACAAAGAATGGATCTCTGTTGGTACTCTTGAAAAAATTGAAGAAAGGAGGAACAAGAAGGCAGTAATCAATGTCAGCCGAACAAGAGCAGAGAAAGTCAAGGCACAAGCTGAATACACGGAAGCAAACAGGGAAGTGAAGAAGAGCATCAGAGCTGACAAACGAAAATATGTGGAAGATCTAGCAATGACGGCGGAAAAGGCTGCAGGAGAAGGAAACATGAGACAATTGTACGAAACAACAAAGAAGCTCGCCGGAAACTATCGTAAACCAGAACGACCAGTGAAAAACAAGGAAGGCAAAGTAATCAGCAACACTGAACAACAGCGAAATAGGTGGGTAGAGCACTTTAAGGAACTATTGAATCGACCAGCTCCACTGAACACACCCAACATCGAAACAGCATCCACGGATCTCCCAATTAATATTGGCGCACCTACGATTGAGGAGATCAGTAGGGCCATCAGACAAATCAAGAGCGGCAAAGCAGCAGGACCAGACAACATTCCAGCAGAGGCAATGAAAGCAGATGTGGAAGCAACTGCGAAAATATTTCACAACCTCTTCAAGAAGATTTAGGATGAGGAACAAGTACCATCAGATTGGAAAGAAGGATACCTGATCAAAATACCAAAGAAAGGCGATCTCAGCAAGTGTGAGAACTACAGGGGCATCTTTCTTCTTTCAATACCAGGCAAAGTCTTCAACAGGGTATTGTTAAACAGAATGAAGGACTTCGTAGACGCCTAACTTCGAGATCAACAGGCCGGATTTCGGAAGGATCGATCGTGTACTGACCAAATCGCTACATTACGGATCATTGTGGAACAATCGATTGAATGGAACTCACCACTCTACATCAACTTCATCGACTACGAGAAAGCATTCGGTAGCATGGATAGGAAAACACTGTGGAGGCTTCTTCGACACTACGGTGTGCCTGAGAAAATAGTTAACATTATACGGAATTCTTATGATTGATTCAACTGCAAAATCGTGCACGGAGGTCAGCTGACAGACTCTTTCGAGGTGAAGACCGGTGTGAGGCAAGGTTGCTTACTCTCACCCTTTCTCTTTCTCCTGGTCATCGACTGGATTATGAAGACGTCGACGTCTAGAAGGAAGCACGGTGTCGACTGGACAGTTAGGACGCAGCTGGACGATCTGGACTTCGCAGATGACCTGGCCCTCCTATCGCACACTCAACAACAAATGCAAGAGAAGACGACCAGTGTAGCAGCAGCCTCTGCAGCAGTAGGTTTCTACATACATAAAGGGAAAAGCAAAATTCTCCGATGCAACACAACATGCACCAACCAAATCACTCTTGATGGAGATGCCTTGGAGGAAGTTAACACCTTCACATATCTGGGCAGCATCATCGACAATCAAGGTGGATCGGATGCAGATGTGAGGGCGCGGATTGGCAAAGCAAGGGCTGCATTTCTACAGTTGAAAAATATCTGGAACTCCAAACAGATATCAATCAACACCAAAATCAGGATTTTCAATACAAATGTCAAGACAGTTCTACTGTATGGAGCGGAAACTTGGAGAACTACCAAAGCCATCATCCAGAAGATACAAGTGTTTATTAACAGCTGTCTACGCAAAATACTTCGTATTCGTTGGCCAGACAGCACCAGCAACAACGAACTGTGGGAGAAAACAAACCAGAATCCAGTGGAGGAGGAAATCAGGAAGAAGCGGTGGAAGTGGATAGGACACACACCGCGTAAAGCACCCAACGGTGTCACAAGACAAGCCTCACATGGAACCCTCACGGTAAAAGGAAAAGAGGAAGACCAAGAAACATATTACGCCGAGAAATAGAGAAAGATAAGAGAAGAATGAACCGAAATTAGAAAGAACCGGAAAGGGAAGCCTAGGACAGAGTTGGTTGGAGAAAACTGGTGGGCGGCCTATGCTCCATTGGGGATAACAGGCGTAATTAAAGTAAGTAAAACGTTTTCTTCAGTGAGAAATGGAGCGGCGAACAAGTTCCAACAGTCTGGAAGCAGAGATACATCATCAATGTACTAAAGAAAGGAGATTTTAGTATGAGAACTACAGAGTCATCATAATACTATCAGTTCCAGGAAAAGTCTTCAACAGAGTGTTTTTGAGTCGAATGAAGGACTCAGTAGACACCCAACTTTGAAATCAATAGACTAGACTGTACGCGCCGATCATTTAGCTACAGAATCATGTATGAAACTCCTCATTAGATATTAACTTCCCTGGTTATGAGGAAGCGTTTGACAGAGTGAACAGGAGGACCTATTGATAAGAATGTGATCATAACACGGAATTCTTATGTCGAGCTATACTACAAGTTGTGCATGAATGGCAGCTCACAGATACATTCCGATCGGAGATCGATATCAGACAGGATTTCCTACGGTGGTTCTTTCCATCATTTCTGGTAGCTGATTGTATTACGACGACTTCCAAATCTCAAGGAAGACATGGAATACGGTTAAAAGTTCAGGGCCAAAAGATAAACAAGGAAGAAATAGACTGTTTATAGAAAATTTTGAAAGTGAAAGCTCTGAGAAAAAGCGGGCGGGGAATTTACATAAAAATTATTATTGTTACTGATAGTGTTGTTACTAAATCATACGAAATGACTAATCATATCATCAACGTTTTCGATGACATGAAATTCGCGATGGAAAAGGAATCAAAAAACAGTCTATCATTCCTGCATGTATTAATCACCATAACTAACACAGGAAAACTGGAGACTCAAGTATTTCGGAAGCCAAAACACAGACGTAATTCTCAACTACAGTAGCAACACCCCAAGAACGCACAAAATTAACTGCACACAAGCTTTGTTCAAGAGAACGAAAACACACTGCAGCATATATGAAACACTAAAAAACGAGGAAAAGTATCTTATGACTATCTTCCAAAAGATCGACTATCCACTCAACTTCATCGTCAAGAGAAGTGAAATCAATTACAGGGACCAAAAAATGGATCGTCCTACCATACATAAAAGACATCGGAACTTACAGCACGACTACTGAGACCATTTGGAATTGGTGTAGAACACGAACCAACAGAATCACTTCATCCATTTAATGTAGTCCGCTGGACAAAATGACAGAAGAAAAACCAAATACCACCTACAAAAAAACTGCTCCGATTGTGAAAAATACTACATAGGACAAAGGGGAAGTCCTCTTCAGCTTCGTTAACGTGAAGACCGTTTAGCAGTCAAACGCTACGACTTTTCTCTGCTTATATCAATACATACGGACGATTATGGACATACATTTGATTGGAACAATGTGGAAATACTGGATAGGGGGAGCACAAAGAGAACTAGAGAATTTTTAGAAGCTTGGCACCCAAGTCAGTCGGCAATTAACAAACACATTGACATTGAAACAATTTATCAACCAATCAGAAAAATCATAGGCGACATAGGATCGAGAAACAAATCGGAGGGGATACAACTAAAACAGCGGTGAAAACAACGACAGGTTTCGTGTCAACAGCAACCAATCAAGATCGAGGTTAAAAGAACAAGCTACGGGTCAAACATGGAGAAATTCGAACACTTCAATTCTATCTGAAGTTTGCGCTGATGTTGTTCAGAAGAAGAATGACAGCTTCACAACCTAGACATACAGCCCAGAGAACGAACACTACAACAATCATCCACCTGAGCTACAAATTTTCTCCACCATCTCGAAAAAATAAAAGCTATTCACCAAAATATGCGTTTCCAAACAAACGTCAAGCCTTTCTGCCTGTCATCGGCTTATAACTACTCTAGAGTTTGTATCATTTAACAAACAATTTTCCACTCAACTGAGGTATAACATTTTCCCAATTTATCATAATATATGCTTATTTTTCACTTTCGAAATTAACCAGACCAACATAACGTACCCTCTGAATATTTACCTTCTTCGTTTTTTCTTGGAAGTCCGAAATTTCTAGATTGCTGGTTTATTTTTGTATGCTACTTTATTCAGCATTTGTTTAAGATAACTTTCAGCGGTGATGAAAGTTAATTCTAAGGAAAGGATTTTATGATCATCCATTGAGTTTCTCACTTAGAAGACATAAAACAAATGTCGGACAATTGTATGACGTTCTCTGAAATGTTATATTCAATCATAAGTGTTCGATTACCAAACATTTGGGGCCTCATTAACATCAGTTTCACCATCACCCATCCTCAAGCTTCACTACTGTCACAACATACCCTCATTTCATCATCAGATGGAACACAATTGTTGGCTTGGTAAATTAGAGGACTGTTAATCAATAAATGAAATTCGGAAAAACTTTGGATCATTGACTTAATGCTAACTGCTCACCTGTGAAATCACTTCCTCATGTTTATTTTTCAATTTGCTCACTTCTAAGCTTAACTTATGTAGTAGATTTTCCCGTTCTCCAACCTGTACAGAAAAGAAAATCAAGTCGAACAAAAAACTAGATAACAGCTTTCTTGTCTTGCCAATGAAGTTTACCTTTCAAGTTAGACAAAGGGACTGTCATTTCCAGAAGAATGTTGGTAAAAATTAGATAAATAACCTTGGAGAGAACGAATTTTGTTTACCAGGTCTGAAAACGGTTCACCATAAGATCTGCTTCAACCGATTATTATTCCTTTCGCGTAACTCGCAGTTATAAAATGTTAGCAAGAGCTCTTAGGTAACACAGAGTCACATCCAGAGTTTTACCTTCACACAAGCTCCAAGTAAAAGTCAAATATTTATTCAGGCTAATATTCTGAGATATCACGCTAGTTAGGATAGTTTTTTGTACTTATCAAGAGAGGATTTCTACATACCTTACAAACTGGGATGATCAACAATCAAAACTAGTCAGATGGTGATTATTCTAGCATCCAGACAATAACTTAGCATAGCTAACGTAACTATAAAAAGTGGACAAGCCACTTTGGGAACCTTGGGATTTAATATATCGAATCTTGTTGTATTCCATCTTCTAGACTTAGCTATGTCGTTTTCGACTTCCTTTATTGAGAGCGATAAGTTGATTTCTCTCCCAATTTGTTTGGGAACAGTGAGTAACTGAGTAGTCATTTGAGGTCAATGCTATCCATCATCCCCAATTTTCTCACACTTTTCGCTTCCGTCATCCGTCATAGTCTGAGAATATGCAATTTTTATGATAAATTTCAGCAGACTGTTACCATCATCTATTCGCTTGTCTAGGACGTCAAAATACTAGTCTAACTGCTTTTAAAGATGACTTGAACTACTTACATGTTAGACAAAGTCAGTTATGGCTGCTTAATCAAATCGCCTAAGATGTTGAGGAAAGATAGAAGCTCCCTTTAAGACTTATCTGGTAAATTTGAATAAAGTAAGAATAATTAACCTAACAGAATTACACAAATTCATTTTATTTCGCTAATTCTCTTCAACCGCTTACAACCTAAACATGATGGTATTAACCATTAAAAACCAGTATACATACTTTATATCATAATATCGGAAAAATTATTATCAGTGAAGATTAATGAGAGAGCGATGAGGGCTATAAGCGTTAATATTTATATGCTATGAGGTCACCACGGTAAAGAATGAGTGAGATTTGGTTTAAATCTTTATGCAGCAATCGCTTCAGCAAACCGCAGTGATTGATTCTCTTCGCTGATTAACTATCTTGAAAGACCTCATGACAACTGTCAAGCGAATGGCTTGTAATTGCACTGCTGAAAACAGATCCTTTTAGTCCAAGTTTCAGAGGAATATACTCAAAGATGCAGACAATAATCCTCCTTTCTATTCTTCTGATGTATGTGCTTTGTCACGTACATATAAACTGGTAGATGCAATTGGAGGTTACATAGGACAGGAACTTCTTCACACATAACTGTCTTAATAAGTAATTCGTGTGATACAGAGAAATCAGTTGGGCAGCTGTATAATTTTTTTATTGTCTTTTAACATGAAATCATCACTCCTTGGTATTTCATCAGCCTTGAAACCAAGTATTGGAAAGACAGGCTTCTTCTGACTAGTGTTCCAATTCCTCTGTTTTCGCCTCCCCATACTTGTCATGAATTTTCGATAGCTACCATTATCACGTAATTTAGGTGTCATTACCAAGGTTTAACTTGATAATATCAAATAAATTTAGGATTGACTGGATTGTTAATAATAAAATTATTATATCTGAAGTATCCTAATGAGCAGAAAAAACTGAAAGTTTTCTGACATTTCGTGACTCAGTGTAAGCTATTTTACGTGATCAACGTTCAACTATGGCTGATTCCTCATCAGTGTAATCTTCTGACACAATTGAAACGTGTTCTAACCAAGGATATTTTGTAGCTTATCGAACAGAAGCTATCGAGGTTTATGTATAATTCACTCCGTGTATTTTCGCTAAATATATCTTCCCGATACGCTTCATAGAAAGATCTAGAAGACTCTGTTCAGTCAATCAGAAAACAGAAAGTATGAATCAATGATCTGTAGAATATAGCAAATGAATTTTTAGAGACTGAGTCAGTTTCCCATCGTTAATAGACTTTTCTAAGTTCACTGTAGGATACTAAATTTAAGTAGCCGTAAATATTTTTTAATCAACCTTATATCGTTCCTTTCGTTCATATGAACACCTAAAGTCAGGTCAATAAACTGACGTTTATGCTTTGAAACTGTATTTGCAGAGACATTCGCATGTTCCTCAGCTGTCAGTGTTTAATATGGCATACAGTTTTCCACTTTATTTCCAAAATCTTCGTTTTCCCCGTACTATAGTCTCACCAATTTTCATATTTTCATCACCTCCAAATGAAAACCCAAACCTCTCGATAATATCCGTACCTTTGCGTAGCAAACACTTCTCATAGAGTTTACAACACTGCCACTGCTGTGATTAGGGTGCTTATTCTCTCATTCAGTGCAAGTAACACTTCATTCAGGATTAACTTGAAATTAAAAAAAAATGTATCATACTCTCAATTGATTTTTGACAGCAATGGTTACTGCAATGAAATCATAATTCCATAGTTCTCGTATACAGTTATTCAGGTGCCTTCATCAAAAACTAATGTTTTAGAAAATCCAGCGCATCTCAGATAGCTTAAGATGTTTCTCTCTGTGAGATTATCCATAATATGGTCGAAGAGTACCATTCTGCTTTGATGTATGACCATGATCTTGAAGCTACCTGATCATTCCTATTCTTGTTCTGTTTTTGATTGCGATGCTATATTTACATCGGTGAAGTCAGAAGAAATCGCTGTTAAGTAGCCGGAAACACAAAGGCTCGATCACGCCGATATTGTAAATCGACTGGGAGAAGTCAAGCAAAATGATAAACATGAATTTTTGCGGGGTTCGGAAAACACAGTCTCAGATAATCAAGCAAGTGATCTCATGTTTCGAAGCATTATTCTAGGAACCGGAAAACTAAAACTCATGACTATGAATAGTCAGCTTTACTTTGATATGTCCAAAAAGGATGAAGTGAGAACACATAAGGTCAACGCTGGTGAAATAAAACATATACTCGGACGTGAAGAATGAATTGATAAGCTCAGGTTTTGATGAAGATTTGTCAGTAGTAGTTACTTTCCAGTTGTCTACACTGTGCATATTTCCTCTTGAAGAAACCGTAAAAGAAACTGTGTTAGGAACAGTCTTTCAAATAATACTAAGTAACAGGTTTCCGAAGAAGGATATCCAAGGCTTTGTTTATAGTAAAGGTGGATAATATTGACTTCTTACTTTCCAGTTCTGCAAAACAGTAGACTAAGGTAAATTGTTCTATTTTATAGTTGAACTTGTCTAATTTCCATTCTTTTCGTGGGAAAGAAGCATTGCTGAAGGTACTGGTTATCTGTAACATTCCCTTTAGTTTAATCAAATCCCAGTACGACTATCCGTTCTATCATTCTATCGTTCTCTGATTTCAACCTACTTGAGATGGTAGGATCTCAAAAAAAATATGTATAAGGCATTATAATTCACTGAGTCATTGCCATGAATAGTCTTGAAAATCACGTCAACTTAGTAGCATGTAATTCCTTAAAGTTCAATTTATTTTCGACTAATCATTGTTAATTCTTTAGAAGTCTACTGCCATCATCAGTGCAGTAAATCACACTAAACAATCATTGCCGAACAAATTAATTATTTTATAAGCAAATGAAGTACTAATCCATAGTGATGAAACAAACTTCAGTTCAATTTACTAAAATAGGCTTAGCATATTTGTGTTTTGTCATTTTTTGAAAAGTTTAGCATAGTAAATTAAGAAAACTGCCGATTAAATGCTTGATTGATAATCACTTATTACTTTGAACCATTATTGATTGTTAAAAGTTTTATATTTTCTTTGCGAAAATAATTTCGCATAGAAGGGATAAGCGTTTTTTTTCTCGTCAAATAAATGAACTCTAGAGATTCTCCTTTCATTTCGCTCAAATGGTTTGTAATCCTGTTCCTTTTTTTACATCAATACCCTTATTAAGCAACTTATCACTTCAATGCTAATGGAAAATGAATACCATCTTGAAATAGACATTGATTATGAGACTCTGGAAATCGGTCGTTTCACAAAAAAAGTCAACATAATATAAAAACATTAAATGGAGCAATATATAAAGCGAATAACGATGCTTCTTCACCTGTTGGAACAAGTTTGTAACACTTTCTTGAAGTTGTCTCGTTGTATTGTAACTTTCTTCCAGTAATTGTTCTTTAGTTTTCTCTCTTTCTTGACAATATTGCAGTTGATGCTTCATATCTAACAATTGATTTTGTAAATATTCAATATTCTCCTGACAAATATGATGTTGTGATTCGTAAGTGTTATGACATAGCTAAACAAATATAGTTATGGGAAAATAAGAGTAAATCCGATGGAAAGAGGGCAAACTATATACATATATATGCATATATAATTAAGGGTGCAGCTTACATAAACAATATCTTTTGGCATAAACACTTTGGTTTTGCACTAATCAAAATTTGACTTTACATTGTGATCGGTTTAATTTACTAGTAAAATTAATTGTACGGCTCATAAACCGCTATTATCATTGGTGTCATGTAAGAGGATTGTAATTTTCAATTTATACTTAAAAAATGAAACCTTGTGATCGTTTTCAGTTCAGTCTACACTGAGAAAAGTATGTACTTATTGTGTAAATTAAAATCAAAATTTTCGCCTAAATGAATCAACCAAAAATTATTCCAACAAATGTATCTCCGCTTTTATTTTCAAGAAAAACTTTTATTTGTTTGTTTAATCTAACGACATATGTTTTTGATCCTGCGTCAAGTTCAACGTAGCGATCAATGAGACATGAAATTACATTACCGTTACAAATTATCATCTATCGTGATGAAAATACCTTCTAAAAATATTACAATGCTTCCTATTTAATAAACATGTGTATGTAATATATATATATATACTCCTATAAGTGCATTATCAGTATATCAGTCAAATAATCCTACAATAAAGATAATAGTTGAAATTTGTATTCATTCATCGTGTCGATTATGGGCTAAAATTTAGTTCAAGTGGTTCAGACAAAATATGTATTCAAATTCATATACGCATATGATTGTTTTGTTCTAGTTTATTCAAAGCCATCATGCACATTTCATGGTAATTCAATTTCATCTCTACGTACTGAAGTGCGTGTGAAAGTGTGTTCATGTTTAATGAATAGAATTCTCGTTGCTTTATAATGAACGATTTTAATTATTCATTCACTAGCAATATTTGTTTTAGAGAATGTCCAATTCATGTACTATGTTATCACAAACCTTAGTCCAACAATACCTAACACATTTAACACAAATTCTTCAAATCTTGTTGAAATCCTGTCCAATTAAATACTGTCAGGTGTTTAACAGGTCTGCTAACAACTGTGCGAACTGGATTCATTCCGAAAATTATCAACGAAAGTGAATTTCGAACCGGCAAAATTCTGATCAAACATATCAATCATGGAGTTTTCAGACTAAACGACAAAATCCATTCTCATTATGATAAACTTACTTCACATGAAGGAGGGAAATCATTTGTTGTACAAGTTTTTTGTTGTTGCTGTTTTAGTCGTTCTTGGTGTTGTTGTTGTGGGATATGATGAATTGGTATTAGGGGAATAAGTGGTGTTGGGGTTGGAGGTGAGTGATGTTCACAGTAGGCGGACCCATGGAAATCGGTTGATAGATTTGCATTGATAGGACCAGGGTGTTGTCCGGAACTACACTTGAAATAAAATTAAATGAGATAATCAGTAGAGATAAATTTTCAGTCTAATCAACTTAAATTACATGATCGTTTTCATAGGTTAGTATGGCATGAAGGATTTTATCATTATGAAAAGTTATTGAGAGTGGAGACAGCGGTGAACACTTTAACACTTTACCATCCGTAAGGCAAATTAGACTTAAAGCGGTAACCAGGTGGAATAATTAAGCAATGTCAACCCTATCAAATTTTACAGAGCTTTTGATCCTTCTAAACATCATTGGTTAGTGTTTCATGGTAGAAGCACATACAACTTATAAAATAAGAAATATAAATTAATTTAAAACAGTTAGTCCATTTTGTAAATTTTGATAGAACAGTGAGAAGACGTAACTGATCAGCAAAAATGTGATGTATTTGCGCTGGACATTTCGAACAACCTGGTCACACATATTAACTTGTTAAGGCATTTTCATATTACGTTAATTTTCCCTCTCCTTTATTTACAATTATCACCTTATGTCTATTTGAATTTTTATTTAATTGACCTTTTATTCATCTTCATATAAAATATGTGTGACCAGATTGATCGAAATGTATATTTCACATTTTTCAGTTCAATTACGTCTTCTCACTGTTCTATAAATTAATTGCCAGAACAACATGTGAACAAGAAATATATTGTGTTTAAAATTAAAAACGATGATATTAACCTGAGTAAATTATTTTTAAGTGAATACTCATTTTCTTCTCTTGTCACCACCATATTTGAACATTCAGAGTACAAAATACAATTATTTAGAGCTAGCCAGCTATGCTTTTACCAAACTAACTGTAAAAAATACTTTAAAATTAGAAATTATGAAATTCACTTTGAAATAATATATCACATTATACAATTGGAACCTATTGATGACGATTTTTTCGTCACACTAGGATATCAGCTAGAGAACCATTGAAACTAAGAAACACTGGACAGCTGTTACTCTTCAATTAACAACGCTTCAGTTGTGTACACCGATAGCCTTATTCACAGTTGAACTCAACTTCTTTAAATTTTATAGTGAACATGAAACACTGACTATTATTGATTTAAATAAAATCCAACTATACACCCTTTGCATGTCATTCAAAAGGGTACACAGCTCAAAGATACAAATTTAATGCAAAATCTACTCAGAAAATCACAAGGCTCATTATCTACACTTTGGAAACTGAACTACAGAGTGAGACAATAAGTGAACAAAAATTCAAGCCTAATAGATATAAAACAGGAACGAATACTGTCACAACTTACAGGTTTATATGTCATGTGAAAATTTAGTCACTTTCGTTTTAGGATTCTTCAAAGAAAAACTTAACCTAGTGCTTAAAGAACAGTCAATGTGATTACAAGAAAATTGAATATCAGAAAAATTGTCCAACAAGATCCACTATGTTTTATCAATGATGCATACTTTGTAGGGAGAAGTTTTCGATAGGAAATTTATCGAAACATCGATCACAGTTCTTTTATTAAGTCATAGTTTTACTTATAAACATTATATCTCGTTAAATAAACAATTTGTTTTTAAAGTGTTACTATTACGTTTATCAGTAAATAATCCTACCACAATGAATCTTGCTTCAATAATAAATGTCTGTATATAAGCTTGATTACATTGAACCCATTCATAAAAATGATACTACCCACTTACTCTAAAATTGAAGTATATATTTACAAAATAAAAATAATTCCACCACTTTATTCACTGAAAAATGTACACCAAAATCTCTGCCACCCAATATTATTTGTCTGAAATTTAGTCAGAAAATCAAATGCTACTTTAAAGCTACAGACAAGGAATAATTTAAACAGATCGATAAATCCCGTGACTCTTATATGATTATTGAACATCGTTATGGCTTTGAATTGAAGGACGTGTCGCTGCTCGTCATGTGGGTAAACAGGCTTCTGAACAGATTGAAAAGGAAACAACAATAAAAGTCAGTAAGATGGGTGCAAAACAGGTCTCATCCGGAAAATATTTCCAATAATGAAAGTTATAGTGAGGCTAATGAAAGCACAAATGAAAATGACTTTCACGAACTCGAAGATAATGTGAAGAAGTTCAGAAAACATCTCACAGTTACTCACACAGAACCATCATCAACAAGCTCCGAGTCACAGACATCCAGTTCAACTGACTTATCGGAGAGATGTAGAAACACTCGTCTTTTATGGGATATAATACATCTTTTAAATAATTGTCCTCGATCGTGTTGCGAAGAAAAACACATTAAAAAACTAACCAGACATATAGATTGTGGAAGAACAAAACGTTCAAACGTACCATCAACATTAGATCCTATTGACAATTATGCAAATATTCAAAATCAACCAAACACTTCTTTTCTAACGACAAACTTGTGGTATCTAACAAACCCAGTACCATATTACGCATCTCCGATTCAATCAACGTATCCAGAGCCATCAGTCGTCACGAACATGTTATTAGATTCAGGCTATCCTTATTTAGATGAAATCTACTGGTAAAAATGTCGAACAACTTTCAGTACATTTATTTTGTCTACCAATGCTAGAATTTTTCTGCATAATATTCATGATTTTGCTTCTTTGGAGCCAACGAATGCATCGATCAACCTTTACTCTTCAACGGATCTTGGAAAATAATCATATCTATCAACTCAGTACTGTGGTGGTATTTCCATTCCTGAAGGCAGAATTCGGATCTAACCGTCGAGATTTTTATTGAAAGGTAATTCAAATACGTTTATCAGTTTACTAAATGCTTTTGGTTTTAATACTGCCAGTCAGAACTGAATTGCAGTAATAAGGAGTTTGTCAAAGCTTCCAACTTTCGCAGTTTTTAGCTCTTTCGTAAGTAAACTTGGAGATAGAGTTTCTCGGTCCAATAGATTAACCACAAATGTCTTCTAGAATGGTAACTTAGTCTTAGCCGTTAGATTAACTGAGATATTAGCCAGTAACCTACAATAACAGTGCGTTACTAACAGCTGGACTGATTCATGTTAATAGTGGTTGTGGTCTGCGAGACACTCGTAACCGGTAGTTAGAGACATTAAATGACATGACTCAAAGTCGTCCGCAGGTGAATCCATCATTTTTTAGACGCTAAAAGCTATGTCTATGTTCTAGGACTCGACAAAAGGTGAATACCTGGCCTGTACCTCCACATCCAGATACAAAGCCAGACTGGTGTTCTCATGTCTGCTCTTCACGAGCTCGCCTTATGCGTTGAAGTATTATCTAAGCTAATATTTAGACACTATATTAGTTAAACTGATTGGCCATTGAAGTCCACAAGAGGAATATTTCCCTTTCTTAAATACCGGGAAAACCAGTGAGATGGGATTTCGTTCAGTTATCAGATTCTAGCTAGGATCTCACTCAATTTTGTTGCTAAAACTGGACCGCTATCCCCAAAAGTCACAAGAGTTTACCCATCAAAACCTGCTACTCTCCCTCGCCTTAGATTACCTAAAGCCTTTACGACCTCATTAAGATTCTGGTTAAATGAAAATCGAGGGTAACTGAAGTATGGTTGAAGGCCAGTTGAACTGATCCCTAAAATGTTCTGTCCATCGACCCAATCTTCTGAAATGAGAATGAATGGTAGTCTCGATTTTTTTGGTGGGGTTTCATTAAAAGTCGGATTCCTATACCGGTTTCCTTGATAAGGCTGAACACTTGTCTACCGTTACCTATTGCCAATGCCTTTTGAATCTCTCTTGCTTTCGCTACCCACCACTGTTCGCAGTCATTGTGTAGGCTTCTTATCAACTTGTCCTTAAGCTGAGTGACTGTACCTGGGTCCTGTATGCGCGTTTCGGAAATACGGCATACGTCAATGACATGAGATTCTGTAGTCCTATATGAGGAAGCCTGTTAGCACCACATGCTGGTTGCTCATGGGTACCAACTTACTGCCATCACACTCCTCTACAGTCAGCAGTACGACTTCAACCTCAGACCTTGAGTTGTTGCTTTTAGTCTTACCATTCTCTATTCAACCTACCTGGCATGGTACGACCTAAAGGAGCAGGTGTTCCAGCCAAAAGAGCTCGGTCGGGTCATTACGATTGGCAAGCCCGACCGCCACACCTGGGTAGCAGCTATGATCTGAAATCAAGCTTATAGATATATATTGTTAAGGCAGGATTCAATGTGGTTCTAGTATTAGAGGTAAAACACCTATCTAACCACCAATCACCTTTTGATGAGTCATCTGAAATGGTTTACTAATGGATCGAACGATATGACTCCCGGAATCCGACTGAAATGATTGGTTGTATGTGCCTTCTCATGTTATCTGTTTAACCAATGAGATCGATCTTGTCCTAGAGGTTGAAGTCTGAAAAAATTTATTAAGCTTAATAGAAACTTTATATACAGTCGTGCAGATAATGTAATGTGTAATATTGTAAATAATGAAATTTTATGATTGTGTACTAGGATTTTTGACTGATAAACCTAGTAAATCAGATAAGATAAATGAGCGAAATAACCAATGCACACAAACACCCAAATAGAAATAACCAAGTTAGAAGCGAATACTTGACAAGGTCAAAAGATGTGTGAATAACTCTTGAAGCCGAGACGACATATTAATATCAATGCACACACTACAAAGCCCGATTGTAAAATGTTGTATATTAATTTGAAAAAAATGACAGTTACCGAAAGTAACACTGAAATAGTGACTGACTAATGTTAAAAATAAGTAACGAAAAAATGTACCATTTCGGACAGAGTACAACACTAGTTCATGTGTGAATATATAATGCGAATGTGTCACACTTATGTAACAAAATATATGATAAACATCAAGTGTGGACAGAGGGAGATTTCAGTGTGTAATTATAAGCAAGTTAACAAGCCTGTTGAAAAAAATTAGCGTGCTTTTATGGTGTGACTGTATAGATAATAAAATAATGACACATACGTTTAAGTAATTTGGAATAGCGTGAAAATAACCTGTGATTCATCAGTTTGCGTGTATGGCAACGGAACCAATTGCAAAAATAAGTAGGATGAAATATAACGAAAATTGATCTGTGACGCTGACGAAATATGCGAATAAGAAATAGTTAGATCTGAACATGTTTTAATAAGCCGCAATAGAGTTATATTCGTCGATTAGTGATTGATGATTTCGCATTTACAAAGCATAGAATTTTCCTATGTAGGGTAACGTCAACCCAGTCGCAAAATGATAACTACTTTTTGGATAACAGTCATTGTTGCACTGCAACTGATGATAATCATAAGATGTGGAGTTAGTATACGTTTCACTGGTATTACGAACAGATGCGATGAGTTATCGTTGAAATATATTGGTAGAATGACTCGGTGTTATGACAGTAATGAATGTAGCGTGAAGTTATATATACGTGAATAAATACGATGATATTTGATGAATGTAAAAAATTATAGTAAACCTCATCGATTAATCAAATGGCTGCAGATATGTTAAGAAAGTCCAGTCGAGACTATCGTTGGGAAAAGAGAGAACACTGATTGCTACGTACAAATGCGATGAACAGACGTTAGTTGCATGTAGAGAACATAAGCTTTTACTGGCGAGTGTTTGACCCCAAATGCCTGTCTATGATAGCCTTTCTAACAGTCGCCAACGTTGCGGTAGTTGGAAACATGCTATTATCAGCATGGAATGGGCTCTCTCGACTATTTAGACTGATGGTGCGTGTACGTGCACATGTTGCCCCTTACCGCCAATTCGCTTAGCATGTTACAAGATGTTCGAGTAGCTGACATGCATGTTGGAAATATCTACGATGTGATAATCATATAGCCATACAAATGAATAATACTGAATAATACGTCTACTAGAGCCATTGCTGCGATAGGTGATTTAAACTATAAAAGTGATGATTGTCTTTATAAAAGGCTTATTAAAACTAAGAGCATCTACAAATATAGAAGACGATATCTAGAGAAAAAATTAGGTGTATGATATAGTAATATAAAATGAATTAGTCTACGTGGGTGAAAATATACGAATGAGGCGAAATGACACAAAAAAAACAGAACAAACTCACTTTAAGGAGGAAAATGGTTTGTGTTATTGAATAAAATAAAAAAATCCAGTGAGTTGTGAATGTCATACGTGAATGTAATATTCATAGTATTATAAACTGATGAATATAAATGCATAATTGTCATAATTTAATGTCAATATGAATAGGCATAATAGTTCCCTTACGTTAATATTATAATAAAGATAACGATAAGGAGATATTTCGTGAAATAGATTAATGAAACAAGTTGATACATGAATATGCTAGGAAATAAGCCTCACCTTCAATTTCCGTATTTCGACGAAAGCCGTTTGTGCGACGGTGGTGATTGAAAGCTCGATGCGGTTTTGCGAATGAACTTATTTCATACATTCGCATAAGCGGATAAGGCGAGTGAGCCAACTCGATCTGATGAGGCATGGTTAAGTATTTACGGTCAAACAAAAATAAGCTAGATATGTGATAAGCGAAGTGAGCAGTACACAACGCACTTAAATAAAAACAACCAAGTTATAGAATAATTTACGCGGTCAGTTGAGTTGCAAATAGTAACTCGGGTAGGAAAGGTTAATTAGTTAACCCAAAAGCTAACACCGGGAATTTGGGCTCAACATACTAGTATACACAGTACACCTATCACTACTTAAGCCTAATTTTGTTGTTAGACCTATGGTATAGATAATTTTACGTTTGCTTGATGATGGCTAATGAATAATAACTTCGCTTGCATATTAAAATGTGTAGGTTTAAAGGAGGATTTTCTGAATTTTATCTGATAGCAGTTGTTAGACAGTTTTATTTTCCCCAA